ATACTTTGACGGTGACATACAAATTTTTAATAATATAATTCAAAAGAACTTTTTAAAAAAATTTTCATATGCAATGATTAAAAGTGAAACTTAAAATAATGATAAAATGCAAGCACACAAATTGTAATTAAAGTTAAAGAAAGTGTAAGTAAATAAAAATTTTGAAATTTTACTTAAATGAATAATTAACCACTTTAATATAATGGAATAATACTGTATGAATATTACTGTAATGAATAGCATTTTCTAACATTTTAAATTCTCTTAAAATCTGTGTTGTTAATTAAAATTTACGGAAAAAATTACTTTTTATGGTCTTCCTGATCCAAACTTTCGGTTGCATTTAAAATAAGAAAAATGTTTCAAAAATATATCAAAATTAGCACTCTTAGACTATCTCAACTCAAAACATTTTAAAACCCTTAGGTAGAAATAATACTCAACTTGAACGGGAAAACAAAATTTATGACTACTAATTCCAGTACTTTTAAAATGGAACTGAAATTGCAAATTGGAAAGCTACTGATACCATAATGCGTTTCAATAAAAAGTAAATTTTTCAATACAAATCTTATTAAAATTTTCTGACCAAAGTAATTAAAATAGTTTCTACATTTCAGTAAAATCTTTTCAAGTGATTATGGTTGGGAAAATTTCTAAAGAATGTTTAAAAGGAAAACCATTTTAGAAAGAAATTCAATTAAAACGGTTTCATAAAAATTTTAAATCTACCAAATGTACGCTTCTTCAAAGAATATTTAGCGAATAGTTCTTGGAATGTGAAAGGTAAATTAGAGCCATAAAAATATATTTGAAACAGATTTATCTTTAATGATCTTCTTTCGCTGGAATTATGATGAAAGTTTTTTAAAATTTGTTAATCAAAATGGCGCGTCGTTCCTATGTGATTTCATTAAATGGAGCAGTAACAAATGATCCCTGAAATTTCAATATAAACTAGAAAAATAATCTAAAAGTTAAATTTAAAATCCGTTTTTTAAAATAAACACGTACAAAAAATTTTGGACGTGATGTAATGAAAGGCTCTTCCGAATACCAAAAGAATAAAAACTTGCTTTATTTTTTTAAGAATTTTTTGAAATATAGAATACATTGAAACCTCTCTTACATGCAGAAAAGCGCCATAAGTTTTAATAACATTGTTCCAAAAAAAGCTACATTATTTTTTTAGATTTTGTTGTATCATATAAAATAAACAATTAAAACGTTTTACAGATTATTACGAGATAACTCTCAGAAACTAATATTTTTGACACACAAGGAGCATCGTATTTAATCTCCTTAATGAATATATATTAAGATCCTTGTTAAAAACGCAGTAAAAAATATACCATGAAAGAGGCATGGATTAAATGTTAATACATAAAGATCAAATGCTAATAAATAATGTTGAATATTAGGATCAAGTTATATTATAAGGATAAGGTTATGTATAACACGGATTATAATGCTAATATATTAGGATCAAATGTTTATAAATAATGTTAAATATAGGAATAAGATTATATATAAAGAATAAGGTTATATATAAATACATAATGATTAAAATGTTAATATATAACGATTAATCTATCTATCTATCTATATTATATAAAACGCTAATACGTATGTATGTATGTATGTATGTATGTATGTATCAATAAAACCGATGATATTTCTTTTCTCGCGCTGGCAACAGTTTTCATTTTTAATTGATTGGATTCGGCACGCAAGAGCACGTAGTGAGCAACCACTTAACAATAACCAGAGTGAGCATTATCAGGTTGTTCAATTCNTGACGAAAACGCAGTAAAAAATATACCCTGAAAGAGGTATGGATTAAATGTTAATACATGAGGATCAAATGCTAATAAATAATGATAAATATAAGGATCAAGTTATATTATAAGGATAAGGTTATGTATACTAAGGATTATAATGTTAATATATTAGGATCAAATGTTAATAAATAATGTTAAATATAGGAATAAGTTTATATAATAAGAATAAGGTTATATATAAGTATATAAAGATTAAAATGTTAATAAATGAAGTTAAATGTAATGATTAGGCTGAATGTTAAGGATAAGATTATATATAAGAACATGAGGATTACAATGCTAATATATAAGGATCAAATACTAATATATAAGCTGATAAAAAAAATAAGAAATGCTATCAAAAACTAATGAATCTCTGCTGAGGAATGCGATACTGGGAAAAATCTGTTTATTGCTGAAAGAAACAAAGGAAAAATAAAAATGATTCGTTAGAAACACCTCCGAATTTTCTCATGCAATCAGAATAGTTTTGATGTTTTTCTCAACTATCCTTCACCAAAGATTCTATAGTTTTTTCTTCTTTTTCCACTTAATTATTAATTGTGGCTTACTTTTTTTTTAACTTTCTGACAAATATTCGAAAAATATCGTCAAAGATTGATCATCACTGGATATCCTGTTTACATGTTATATTGAGTACAGACTTGGTGTGATGAAAAACAGAGTCACGAAAATGATAAGACTGTGTAGAGGATATCCATATAAAGTAAAGTGAAATTAACTTCTGCGTCTGAATGTTGGGGTCACTGAATGTTTTAAAACTGAATGTTGGGATCAACCTTACTAACAGCAAAGCGTACCCATAGAAGATCAATATCATTGGCAACAAAGGCAAAAGTATTGTTAATATTTCTTTCACCATGAAATTTGAACAATTTAAACTCTTTTTCTTCAAAACTGTAAATTAAATACTTCATTACACTTTGGAAAAAGTATGGTCAAAACTACCAGAATATGGAAAAAAATTTCCTTATTGCTGACTCTAAGAGAACACCAAACACTAGATAAATTTTGTCGAAGCACTTTATTAATTTTGGAAAAATGAACAATATAAAACAGTTTTATAATATGAGATATTATTTAATAAATGTGGTACAAACTTGCTAATTTTAACATGATACTTTAGAGCATGGCATAAGACCATTTTTAGTTTTGCATTTCTTACTAAACATGTGGTGATAAGAATTATATGTTTAAAAACCAGAACTTTCAGTAAATCTCTACCATATGAACGGGAAAATCAATTAGTGAATAGTTTAAATACTGTATATTTTGGTTTTATTAACTAGAATTATGCTTTTTTTACCAGAAATTGCCATACCGTGAGATAATTTTACCAATTTTTTTTCTCTGCGTATTATTATTATTGCCATACGTATTATTATTGGTAGTAATAGTGGTTCTTGTTATAATTGTAATAGTTTTCTTGTTATTATTATAAGAAAACCTGTAAGATGCGCTGCTTTTTTAATCCTTTTTTATTAGAATTGGAATTCTTAGGTTCACTTTCTAATCAAAATAAAACTCTCATTTAAATCCCGTAAGATAGTTAGATCAAAAATATAATATTGATAAAATAATAGTGCCAAAGTATATGATTTGCTTCAAACATAGTTTTTTTCTTTTAAATAAAGTATTATTATAGAAATTGGACACGTTTCTCAGATAGTTTTTCTTTAAAAGTAGTGAAGACAAAACTTTTGGGCTTAGAAAGAAAGTCACTCTATCAATTTCCGTCATTCAAAGGACATATTTCCCAGTGAAAATATTGTTCTATTATGTCAGAGCAGACAAATAAATAACCAGATTCAGAAATACATCAAATGCTATATTTTGACATAGCTTAGAATTTCAAGTTCTTAACATACATTTACGATATTTCGGTAAAATAAAATTTGAAAGTTACCTGCAATGGATTATAAATGTTGATTATTCTGTTGTTATTGCGCATTTGGAAGATAATTTTTAATATATGTTGAAGTAAATAAATATAATAACTTTATGAAGTAATTAGATAATTTAAAATAAATTGAGAATTGATATACAAAAAATTCACCTACAGAATTACCTACAAAATATTAATCACTATACAATGTATTACCTTTCATATCACACATTACAAATATCAAAATTTAGATAAAATGTCATACTTAAAGTAATTGTAATGAAAATATGATGCCCTGAAGAAATTGAGTAGATAGTTTCTAATATTTATTATCCCTTAATATTTTTATATAATAATAAATTCAAATTTAAACTATACGCAGGATATTTTGAAATGTACCACCTAATATACAAATTAATAATCGTTGTTAAAAATCGAATGGAAAAAAATAAATACAAAAGTGATCACAAATTAATATTCAAAAGTTAAAAAAAGGCTAATGAAATCTTTCAAATCACAATTGAAGAAAGCGAGAATGAAAATATCAAAACCTGTTTGTTACCGGAAGGAACAAAGAAGAATTATTGTGGGATTTTTAAAAATACCTTGAAGTTTCATCAGGCATTTACACCAATTTTGACATTTTTCATCTCATCTTCTTTGCTAGTACTTTTGCAGATTTCGATGGTGATTTCGTAATTTCTTCATTTAATATTTATTTACAACTTTAAATGCTTACATATGCTTTATATATATATATATCAATCACCGAAGAGCCCTTACATTATGACCAACCTCCATCTGTAACAATGGGCTCGTTTCATGGTTTCTCGCCCAGGAACAATGTTTTCATGGGGCACATTAGGACCCATAATCCTCATAGAACAATCCCTGACGTCTGTAAGCTACTTGAACATAGTTGCAGACACCAGGTTCACCCATTCATGGCAACAGTTTTTCCTGCGGGGGATGGATTACCAACAGGATAATGCACCATGTCATAAGGGTCGAATCGTCGAGGCGCCTCTATTTTCCTAAATGCTTATTAAAAAAGAATGCAATTTACAGATATTTTTAAAGACGCTCACTTCTTTGTTTCTAATTGTTTTGCAATTAACCCAAACCATTTATTTTATTTATGTTTATTTTTTTTTTCTTGTGTTGTGATTTTGTGTTGTTCTTTCGTTTCTGAGCTTTGTTTTGTTTTTGTTTTGTTTTTCAAAAAAAGAGGCATGGAAAACATTTAAAAAAATTTATAATCACATTAAGAAATATTTTTTTAAGGAAACATATATTCAAATTGAAAAATATTTCTTAAGATTTAAGTGCTACTAATCAACTAGGTGCTCAAAATTTACAAATTTAAGTAAAATCCCCACAAAATGTACAATTTCAGATCAATATAAAATGTGCATTCTCTCTTCCAAATAATTTATGGAGCTCTTGCTTCTTTCAAACAGCATTTAAATACATCTTTAACTTTCTGTCGCACCTGCGAATTAAAGTACGTAATTTGTTAGATAATTAATGGAGCAACAATTACATGAAAAATATACAATATGGTTAAAAAAAATTTATCCAACATGCATCTAATCTAATGTTTAGAATCAATTTGCAAATTTTCAATTAATTTATAAATTAAACTCAAGTTAGGCACATAAAGAGTCCCCACAGAGGGGATCTTATAAACTTTTAAAGCGAAGCTTTTCAGAACAACATCACAAAGAAGTTGTTTACGGAAAAAAAGCTTATTATAAAAAGTTTTTGACAAAACAAAAGCGAACCTAAAACGCCCTCAAAAACAATGTAATGATTAACTGAAATTAGTTTTTGCTTCAATAACATCTTTCAACCTTTTGTTNGGATTCGTGAGAAGCTCATCATCCGGGATGTTTCCCAGACCGTCGCCAATAGCCCATTGTGCAGCTCTAGTGCGACGCAAATTAACAACAACAACAACAACATCAAAAAAGGTACAAAAATCTTAAAAAATAAAAACATTGAAGATACAAAAGTCTTAAATTTATAAATTTGCTTTTTTATGGTGAACTTAAACCTTATCTCTTACTATAGTCACTGTGCCACAAAAGAAATATCTCTAAAAACATTAAATAACAAATGCATGCAATGTAACGGGTTTCACGTGTCAAACTTGAGTAGGGTTACAGCTTACTAATCTTTCCTTAAACGCTAAATAGTTGCTAAAATATAAATATGTTAACATTTTAAAACGTTAAAGATAACTGCAATCATTTAAAAAATACCGTTGTTGTAATTGAAATGTATATTGGTATTTTCTCATAACTCTTAAAGAAGTGAACCGTTCATTAGTCAAAATTCAGAATTGCCATGTTTTTTGCTTCTTATATTTTACATGGTCGCTGTAGTACCTAATTTACTTAAGTCTGATTGGTAGTTTGGCTACGAAAGTATTTTTTGTGCATTAAGATTGTAATATTTTCAAACTGTAAATAGAATTTTCGGATGATTGCTTTTATGCACATTATTTACCAAACTGGTGTCAACAGCAAATATTTAGGAAAACTAAAAAAAGACTTGGTTTTTGTCCTAATATGCGATCAACCTTACTTAACTGTATAGTTACTTAACGGATAGATAGGTGGCGCCATTAAAATAATATGAATTATAAAAAATTTTAAAATAAATATTTTTTTAAACAACAATATATAAACAATTATTAATGTATAAAAATATAACTTAAATAAAATAATGAATTACATTAAAAAATAAATGTAAATGTATGATAAAATGGAGGAAGAAAAAAAATTATTAAAATAAAATTTAATGATTCAATAGATCCGTAAAGTAACTACACAGTTTAATAAGGTAGATCGCATATCGGGACAATACCAAAAACTTTAACACAATGGCCGATTAGTCAACCTACAGGGTATTGGAGGTTTAGGGCCTAAAATGTCGTGACCAACAGCTTGATGGTGCCACGTATTGAGCATCGCGCACTAGCTGCCATTACTTCCCACCAATCGATCTGAAACTAGGTAAGCTTCAAGCTGAAACCGGGCCTGGAATAAAACTGCACCCCTCACAACACCAACAACCTTAATGGGTAATCGTGAATCTCTTTTTAATAAATATCTTTGTTCAGTTCTATTTGTTATGAAACACGCTTGAACACGCTTTTACAATATTATTACCGGGAGCCGCGATGGCGTTCGCCTTCCAATGAGATGAACCAGGTTCAAATCCCATCTATGGCTGGTCGATACGAAATCAGCATCCGGCATGTAACAACCACAGTGTTGACGTGAAATATCTTCAGTGGTAAAGGGATCATGGGTTAGAGTCCGTTTGACGTCAGGCTAACCGTTGGAAGTTCTCGTGGTCTTCCTCTCCATGTAACGCAATTGCGGGTTACTTCCTTCAAAAAGATCTCCACGAAAGCAAATTTCCCCCAATACTTGATCCAGAAGTTCCCTTGTCTTCTGGATTGGATTCAAAATTACAAGGCTACGTAGTTGGGCATTAGTAGTCATAAACCCAAAAATTGGGGCGGCTGTTCAACGACGGTTATAAAACAAAATAAAATATTATTACCAAAGCTGAGGTGGCTCAGGTGATAGATCGCTCGCCTCCCAATGAGGTGATCTCTGATCCAATCCCCAGCGACAACTAGTCGATATGAATACCACACTCAGCTCACACAGACCACAGTGCTGACGAAAAATGTCCTCAGTGGTAGACGGATCATGAGTTAGAGACCGTTGGCATCAGGCTGACCGTGGAAGGTTTTCGTGGTTTTTCTCTCCATGCAATGCAAATGCTGGTTAGTTCCATCAAAAGTCCTGCAGGACATACACTATCTAGCCATTAATGACCGGACACCCCTTGAACGGCAGGTGGACTCGTCCTGGCGGAATAAATGCGGAACCTGTGGTGGGGGAAAGACCATTCGCAAGCAGGCGACGGCCATACGAGCGTTAACAGTGAAAATGAGTGGACGGCGAGAGCTGAATGAGGCGGAAAGGGGCATGATCATAGGCGCCCACCGATTTGGTCATTCCATACGTGCCATCTCCGACAAGTTTCAGATACCACGGTCAACAGTTGGTGACGTCGTGTTGAAATGGGAACGAGAGGGAATGATAAGACCGCAGTCTCGACCCGGCAAGCATAAAATAATGTCCGACAGGGATCGACGATCTCTTCGACGTGTAGTGAAGGCAAACCGACAAATGTCGTTGGACACTGTCATTACCAACTTCCGGGCTGCATCTGGCAGTTTTGCCAGTACACGTACCATTCGTTGGGAGCTTCCATGGACGAGGATTCCATGGACGAGCAGCAGCACATAAGCCAAACATCTCTCCATCAAACTCACGCCACCGATTTCAGTGGTGCAGAGCACGACGCCAGTGGACAGTAGAGCAATGGAAAAGTGTTATGTGCAGTGATGAGTTATGCTACATGTTGTGGCACTCTAATGGACGGGTGTGGACCTGGCGAATGACCGGAGAACGGTACCTACCGGAGTGCATTGTCCCCACTGTGAAGTTCAGCGGTGGAGGAATTATGGTGTGGTCCTGTTTCTCATGGTTTGGCCTTGGACCCTTGGTGTTAGTGCGTGGAACCCTGAACGCAGTAGGGTATAGAGACATCCTGGACAATTCGGCGCTTCCCACCCTGTGGCAACAGTTCGGTAATGGCCCGTTTGTGTTTCAACACGATAACGCTGCCATTCATAAAGCACATGCCATCACGGACTGGTTTGATGAAATGGGGGTGGAAGTTAACTCAAACCATTGACAAAGCNAGTGGGATGAAGGAAATTGCGATTTCATTTCTAAAAGTTCCTTATATTAAGGTTCGAAGTGAGATGTGCTTATTTTAAGGAACAAGGCTAAATCCTTTTCTGTTAGTCTACTTCTGAAATAATTTTTTCTAAGGTTCATAATTGAAAACTCTTGTTCACGTATATAAGATTAAGCTAACATAGCACTGATTTTCTGGGCGTGAAATTTTAAATTTTGGAAACTAGCTTTTGGTAATGATTTGTCAAACTTAGGCATATTTAGAAACAACTGCTTCAGATGATTGTTAGATTGCCCGCTCGTTGGAGCGTAAATTGCGCAGTCTGCCAAATGTGAAGTACAATTTACCCATATTAGATTCCATAAGTCAGCTCCTCGAGAAAGACAAACGCTAGTTGGAGCCAATCTACGGCTATTCTATAAAGAACTTCTGCTTTCAACATTTTACCAATAGAAGCTGTCTGTGCTAACTATTTCCATCAATTTATGTTTTGCAGAACAAAAATAGAGAAAGTAAAAATGTCATCAGTACTTTGTTAAAAAAGGAAAAACAGAAATTATTTTAAACATAGTCGAAATAAAAATTCTATCCGCGGGCCGGATAGAATCTTCCGGTGGGCCAAACCTGGCCCGAGGGTCGTAGTTTGCCCATCCCTGGGTTAGAGTCTCTTCGCCGTCAGGCTAACCATGGGAGGGTCTCGTTGTCTTCCTCTCCATGCAACGCAAATACGGGTTAGTTCCATCAAAAAGACGTTCACGGAGGCAAATTTCTCCCAATACTTGATCCAGAAGTTCCCTTGTTTTCTAGATAGGGTTCAAAATATAAGGCTACGTAGTTGAACATTAGTAGTCATAGACTCAAAAATTGGGGTGGCTGTTCAACGATGGTCATAAAATAAAATACTATTACCAGAGCCGTGGTGGCTCAGTTGATAGAGCGCTCGCCTCCCAATGAGGTGACTTTTCCAATTCCCAGCGACAACTGGTAGTTACGAATTCCGCACTCGGCTCAGATCGACCACAGTGCTGACGAAAAATGTCGTCAGTGGTAGACGGATCATGAGTTAGAGTCCCGTTGGCATCAGGCTAACGGTGGGAGGTTTTCGTGGTTTTTCTCTCCATGCAATGCAAATGCTGGTTAGTTCCATAAAAAGTCCTGCAAGAAGACAAATTTCCCCCAACACTTGATCCAGGAGATCCCTTGTCTTCTGGATTGGGTTCAAAATTACAAGGCAAATTACAAGAAGTTGAACTTTGGTAGTCCTAAACTCAATATTGGGTCGGGTGCTCAACGACGGTTATAAAATATTATTACCAGTAATATTTGGTTGCAGTTATTTCATAGACGTTTACATCACTTTGGGAAGGAAATTTTAAAATTCAGACTTTTAAGTTTTTATTTTTCGAATTCAAAATTTCAAATGTGTTAAAGTCTTCTGAAAGAATTCAGAATTCAACAAAAATAAAAATACCTTTATAAATCAATTCCGTAGTTTCTAAGATGTCCAAGTTCGGTCTTTTACAATGAATTAAACATACAAACAATCAAATTTTTTTATTCAATCAGCAATATCATTTCACTCTTAATTATATAAATGTGTCAAAGAAAAGTAATCAAATATTTAAATTTGATTGTTACCTCATCATTTCCCAACGTATGGAAGAAGAATACCAAAACTCCAATTATTGTATTTAGAATTGAAAAGACACTGTAGAGGCCTAAGTTTTGCTCGTAATCCGATAATTGTCCCACCACAAACGATGACAAGATCAAAGGCATTAAAATCAAATTAGATCTTTGATGTATCCTAAAAGTAAGAAAAATATTTTATTTACAGGCTTTAGAAATAATTGACAAAATACAGGGTGTCCTAATTTAGATTGAGTTTTTTAAATATTTGTAGTAGGAACTAGTTAACGTTTAAAAAAAAGCAATTCTTGCACTTGCATAAGACTTACGTCATTTCCCATAAATTTTATATCTCATAGCTTTTGGTTTCAATTCAAAAAGTTTTCTATAAATGGGGCTATAGTACGTAAATAAAAAAAACTACATTACATTAAAAACCCCGAGTCGTAATCCTATACATGTCGTAATCAGACAATGAAATTTTTATACATCAAAGCACAATGAAAAAAACTATAAAAAAGACCTTAAATTTTAATCATCAGCAATTGCGAATTAAAACTAGGGTCTTTGAGGAGAAAATTTATGCACTTTTGTATTAATTTGTTTAGGAAATTACATTTCTAAACATAACTGTATTTCCAATAAAAAAAATTTAAAACCGTCAATCTAATTTAGAAAAATTTTTATCGATTTTTTCTTAAAAATGCAGAAATTGGATTTCTTTGTTTTCTCGGTGTTTACAACAAATATTTTTATTTCAATGAGCTGGTGTAGAATCAATTTACTGAAAAATCCTTCCTGAACAAGTTATATAAAAAAAATTGAAATCAGTTCCAACTTAGGTCAAATTAATTAATTAAATTTAATTAATAAATTATAATATTTGAAAAAACTGTATTAGCTTGAACTAATAGTAAGAATTTGAAAAAGGAAGAAATTTTGGAACCAAACATAGAAGAAATATGAATTATTAACAAGTACTTTGTCTAGACAACAAAAAATAAACATTGACTCGTATAAAATATATTTAGTTTTAATTTTTCTAGTAACGAAACAATTCCTAATATTCAACTTAATCTTCTTAAATTGTTTTTTTTTTAATCCAGCACAGCGCAAACAGCGGTCATCACTTTGCATTAAGACAGACTAATTAAGAAATCTTATATTTTCTAATCACTTCTCATCTATTTCTGTCTTATTGAAGTGAGGCCACAAACTTTGGAGACATTAGGAAATGTCATTCATTGATCAATCAGCCTGAATTTTTATGCAGTTCGTAATAAACCCACGAAAGTAAAAGCTCATTGTAAAAAACGTAGTTACAGATTTCATACAAAAAAAAAGTTAAGTCTGGGTAATTAATACATTTTCTAGTAAACTTAAACGTTTATTGACTAATTGTAATGAAATATTCAGTCAAAATAAAAAAAAACTATTGCATTTTCCAGTTAACTTGACTGAAATGCTGATGACCCTACTATGTTGCGAGCACTTCCTGCGTGTTTTTATTTTGTATCAATCTTTTAATATAGATTAAAAATAATTCAAAACAAATCGTGATAATTCATAATTTGAACGCATAAATGAGTTTAAACCAATTGATGAGCTTTTGTAACAACTTCCATTCAACATGCAAAACACAATAGGAAGAACTATAACTGTTTAAATGTTTTCAGCGCTTTATCATACTAATAGTAAGATTAAGGATAGCGTTTGCCTTCTGTTAACTGTAACGCTATTCTTTTTGCTACCCCTCTGCCATTATTATGTTATGGAAAATTTTCGGGCATGCGCTGTGAAATATAAGCTGCGTCAGAGAGAAACCGGAAACACTTTTTTTTTTCTTCCAGACGTGGACACGTACCTAGGTTTGCAAAACCCTTAACCGTATAGTCCACGTCTGGACGACAGTCTAGCTCGCACAAAAGTAAACCATTACAAAATTCATAACTGCACAATAAAGATGATACAGATGACAATAAAGATGACAATAATGCGTAAATTTATATTTAAAAAAATTTTTAAAAAAATTTTGAAGCAAAGAGAACAATAAATGAAGCGAATTTTGTTATATACATAATAATTGAAAAAAAAGAAGCAAAAAGAAAACAAAGAAAAAGTAAACGAGGACGAAATGTATAATGAAGGACAAAATCAAAAACTGTTAAACACTATCAAGATTACATAAAAAGTCAGGTTTAATTAAAATTTTAATAAGGAGTCGTTTTGAATGAAAACACTATGAAAAATTTATTTAATGTTACAGCCTGTATTAGTTGAACATCAACGGTTACAATCTAGTTTAGCTCTGTGACAGTCACGTCAGCCAATATTAAATATTCTAAGAACAAATATACAATCCCCCACGTATAGCCTAATACTATAACTATCAATACTCAAATCAAACCAAAGCCATGTTGTTCACTGAGCTTACGAATATTATTGAAACTCTGCTAAGAATTCAAATTATGAATTTTCCGACTGAAGATTCTAGAAATTTTAAAATTAAACTTTGAAATAAATTTTATTTGTAATTTAATTCCATTCCATTTGGACTTTTTAAAAAATGGTTTAAATCATACCAAATAACTTTTGAAATGTATACTTTTAAGGAAATGTTGCGAAATAAGCATTTCCAAGTAATCAGTTTAAATCAGACTGTAACACACAACAAACAAAGAATAAAAATGTATCGAAGGCGCAATTTATTAAAATTGTAATATTGAAATAAAGACATGTCTAGACATGTATTCCCTCATCAAATGTCTCGTTTAATTTAGAATTCATTTATCTAAATTGCTGAAGTAATTCCCTGAGCAAGTACTCCTTAATGCCTGAGGAATAAATTTATAGCAAAATATATTTCATAATTTCAGCTTAGCAATTTGCAAAATTTCATCTCGTTTCGAAAGAAATTTCCAGAATTTCAGGAACCCATCTCAGAGCAATTTATATTTAAGAAAAGAGTTAAAGTAGTCTTTATTTAGAAAATTATTTCCTGGATCATCTAAAATTTTTATTGTTAAACTATAAACGACTTAAAAGCTTAGTAAATTATTAGAAATATGTTTGACAGCATATTAATGTAAAATTCATGAGCAATATGGTTCACTAAAGCTAACGATGATTTTAAAATTAATGGATTTATAAGTATTCTAAGCAAACTGTAAAGTGATAACTTATGCAAATTAATGAAATTCATAGATTATATGTTAAAAATAGATTAATTGTTGATTGATTTATGCTTACTTGCATGTTAACAACTGTCTGTGATCAATAATTTTCAGAGGCTTATAATTAGCGTTCCCTGATGCCTCCAACATAATAAAGTTCATAATGCAAATTGATATTACTGGTCCAAGAACTAAATACACCACATGTTTATCCATTTGTGTCCAACAACTGAAAAAATAATGCGTATATTAAGCACTTTTTACTCGTTAGACTGCTAATCTAGCATTTTGCATGCTTATACCTCTTTTTGTGTATGTTTAATATTTTAGGTTTATTTTGAGTCTTGAATACCCTTTCAAAAAATTGTTTTAGCGTTAAACCATAACACTAGTATTAAATAAAAAATTAAAAAATTAAAAATTTATGAAAATAAAAATAAAATATAAAAAAATAAAATATAAAATATGAAAAATTTCATTCGCTAAAAAAATATGCGAATTGAAAATAACAGTTAACATATTTTAAGAGCTCAAAAGCAGGTGCCCATTTTCAAACCTTGCCAGATGTGAATGAGAAAAAAACAAAGAGATTTGAAATATGAAAGTAAAGTTTTCGACGAAATAATGCGCATGCTAAGCACTTTTTACTCTTAAAGCTTGCTAATCTAACTTGTTTCTAATCACTCATGCGAAGTCTTAAAAATGGGCGTCGGTTTTTGAGAGCTTCAAACAAGTAGACTGTAATTTCTAATTGTATACTTTTATTAACAAATGAAGTTTTTAATTACGTAATGTCTTACCACTTTAATTTCTTGAAATTATTTATTTAACGTAACACCGGTACTATAAACCATAATTCTGGTACCTTCAAACATAATATGGTGCAACGTTTTTTATAATCTCTATGTGGTGTTAAATTGAACCATGTTGGCATTCAATTTGAACCCTAGAATCAACTTTTAGAAAGGCAAAAATATGGTTCATTTTAGCACCATATGAAGGTTGAAGCAATTTTGAACATTATTACAGTTCAATACATTTTAAAATAATTATTTACAGTTCAATACATTTTGAAATAATTATTTTAAAATAATTATTATAAATAATTATTTTAAAATAATTATTTTCAGTTCAATACATTTTAAAATAATTATTTTAAAGTAATTATTTTAAAATATTTACAGTTCAATACATTTTAAAATAATTATTTTAAATAATCATTTTAAATAATTATTTTGAATAATTATTTTAAAATAATTATTTTAAAATAATTATTTACAGTTCAATACATTTTAAAATAATTATTATAAATTTATTAATTCCAATGAATTTCTTGAAAAATAGTTTTATTTTTTTAGTTTAGAGCTGAAAAAATTGAAATATATTTTTTTTTCGGATAATGTATTTTCAATAATATTATTATTAACTTTGTTTTTCTTTTGTTCTTTTATGCTCCACACGTTTTTGATAAATCATTAGCTTTATGAAAAAAAATTAGTGCTTACTGATATTTAGCTCCATATGTATCGAGAAAAAAACACACACCAACAATCGCAATTAGCAAAGAAACACCTAAATTAAAAGAAAAAATCTTTGATTCATTACATATTAGTATAAAACACTTTTAATAAGAAAGAAAAGCTGTAATGCACAATTCGCTTGAACATTATTTGGTAGCAATATATTTCAATGCTTAAATTGAAAAAAAAAAAATAATAAAATTATTGCAATTACAAAAAGTACATCATGCATGCAAAAGTCAAGTAAAATTTCATGTTATTATTATTAAATTCAAATCATTAAAATATAATGTATCATTTTAACTCAAAACTATAGTTGAAAATCATCTGCTTCGTTTACCGACTTGTTTCTAACTCTTGTAAACTATATCTTAAAAATATAACTTTTTCTTTGAAAATATAACTATACCATGAAAACTGTAACTTTTCTATATGTTACTTAAAATCTTTCTATTTTTCTTCAAAGTATAACATTTTGATGAAAAGGATATTTTCTTTTAATTATTTTATTTCTATTATAAGTGCAATCTTTTTGAGATTTCCTAGCAGATGATTTTTAAAAAAACTTCTAAATAAATCTTGGAAGTTCCGTTGCAATGTCTTGTTATAGTAAATGGTAAAAACAGAAGAATTAAAATAGCAACGCCATTTTCCGATATTATGATCCCTAGCACAATATTTAACATAAGAACCTTTGTCTTTAAAGTTTTTAAGTTAATAATATGTTTCAAAAACGTTTTGCAAACTTAGAAATTAGATATTACAATTTAAACACTGCTAGCATATTATTCCACTCATTCAATTATACACAGAAGAGCCATTACATTACGACTTTCCTGCTAATAACATGTAGGACCACCTTTAGCCGTCAAAACTGCTAGCACCTGCCGTGGCATTGGTTCCACAAGGTGCTGATAGGTAGTCTGAGGTATCTGGTACCAAGCGCTCACCAACTGGTCCTGCAATTCCCTCATATTGCGAGGGGGTAGCGTGGCAGCACGAATTTGGTTTTCTAAGTAGGACCACAAATGCTCTATTGGATTAAGGTCAGGTGAATTTGGGGGCCAAGACATGCCTTGAAAGTCACTGGAATGTTCCTCGATGATTCGACCCTTATGAGATGGTGCATTATCCTGTTGATAAACACCATACTCCGCAGGAAAAACTATTGCCATGAATGGATGAACCTGGTCTGCAACTATGTTCAAGTAGCTTACAGACGTCAGGGATTGCTCTATGAGGATTATGGGTCCTAATCTGCCCCATGGAAACATTGTTCCTGGGCGAGAAACCATGAAAACCTGGGTCAGCCCATTGTTATAGATGGAGGATGGTCATAATGTAATGGCTCTTCCGTGTACAATTCAGTGATAATAATTCTTTCACAATCAATTTAAGTATTGGGTTGTCCGGAAAATAAATTCGTGTTTTTTTCCTTATGAAAATAGAAAATCGCTTCTCTTATGATGATTAACTATTTAATTGAATTATATATTCTCTATTCTGGTCCTATACCTTTTGCGATCCTTCTGACATGATTCCTAGCTCATAAAATGTTTCGTTCAAGCAAAAACCTGACCCATTTGATTTTTGACCTCTTTACTTGAAGTAAAAATTTTCGTCTAAAACTTTCTGAAAAGACCCAAACAAATGTTGTAGACAACCCGTTTTTCGTGAAAACCAGTGATGATGGAATTGATAATTTTCTAGACATTAATGAAGTAAATCACAGACGTCTAACCCTACGGTGCAAATTTCTTCACATAAGAACATGAGGAACACATATGTCGAATTTTAAGAATAAACCTAGGAGTTTTAAATTATCATGAACCATTGAAATCGACAAATTTAATCTCTTAGCGATAATACGAGTTGTTATTCAACAGCTTGAATCGATTAATATCCTTATTGAGCGGCAATGGCTCAGGGGAAGGAGCGTTCGCCTTCCAATAAGGTGAACCGAGTTCGAGTCCCTGCGATGGCTGGTCGATACGAATTCCGCATCCGGCTTGCGCCGACCACAGTTCTGATATGAAATATCCTCAGCGGTAGACGGATCATGGGTGAGAGTTACCTTGCCGTCAGGCTAACCACGAAAGGTTTTCGCAGCCCTCCTCTCCCTGTAACGCAAATGCGGGATAGTTCCATCAAGAAGTCCTCCACGAAGGCAAAATTTCTCCCAAAAAACTTGATCCAGGAGTTCTCTTGTCTTCTGGATTGGATTCAAAATTATAAAGCTACGTATTTGAATATTGTTAGTCGTAAACCCAAAAATTGGTAGGGCTGTTCAACGACGATTATAAAAAAATATCGTAAAAATTGCGTCTTTATCAGCCCAAACTGTCGTAGTGCATCTTCGTGTGTCTGAATTAAAATTTTGACGGATCGATATTTTAAAAACCAGCTTTGGGCACTGGCGTTCTATCAATACATATTCTTCAGACACATCAGATAATTTCTTTCTTGCTTGAGCAAATTTTCGCCTTTTTGATAGTTAAAAAGGAAAATGCGCCGAAAGTGTAGCTTTTCACTTTCTACATTTGAAGGGTCATGAACCAAAAACTACTGCATGAAATCAATCTAACTTTTTTACAACTAAGCTTTCATGTATTGACTTTCAATATTTATAATGATGATACGACTTAAGTGTAAAGTTGTCTGCGAAAAATATAATGAAAACCTCTGTTGACGAAAACAAACTGAAAAACAAAATTTCTTTCCGAACAAACCTGTGCATTGAAATAATAACCTTGTTTGTTACATTTTTACATTTTAGATTAATATATTATAACTAAATAATTGTTGTTGTTGTTTCTAATCCCCAAAAGGTCCATCCCAATTAAACCAAATCCATAAGTCCAAAAATGTTCAGAAAGTCTAAAAGCAGATGAGGTTTTGAAAAACCTCATCGATCTTAAAATCGATACAATTTAGAATATGCTCGGGCGAAGCCTGAGCAGTCCTACGTTTAGTGCAAAGTCCACTACATTTAGTTCAGAGTTTAGTGAAACTAAATAATTAACTGACACTTAAATAGTACTGAGATGCGTTAATTAACTTTTTATTAAACTTTGATAAGACAATTTTTTTTCTTACCCCAACCGACAAGCATGTTTTGAAATCGATTTAACAAGCCATTTCTAGGTACTACAAATGCAACCATGCTGTAAACGTGCAAAGATTCCAGAAACATAAACATAAAACAGGCAGTGAAGAAGAAATGAAGGGCCACTGACACAACTGTGCATAAATCCTGCAACAACAAAAAAAGACTTGATTGAAAATAAACTAACAAAAATGTTTTGAAACGAACGTTTAAAGATTTTTGTACTGCCTCACATAACGCAAAATCTCACAATTGCATTTCAGATGATGTTGCGTTTCAGGTCAACAGCTTCTAAAAGAGAGAACGCCTCCGCATGGATCAATTTAATACTCCGACTAAACTAAACTCAGTGGCGCGACAGCCCATAGAGGGCCAAGGCCTACTCTGCCCATCTCAGTTTTCTTTACCTTGGGCTGTGGGGTGCAGATGTTCTGGTCAGGTGGTCAGCCGATAGCCGGACCCCCAGTATTTAGTTCCCAAGCATGCTTGGTACTCATTTATCGACCCACAGGAGGGATGAAAGGCTGAGCCAACCTTGCCCAGCCCGAGGATCGAACCCAGGACCTGTGGCACGGGAACGCGAAGCGCTACTACTCAGCCAACGGGCGTCTACTCCTTCACACAATAGTACTAGTTTCATGACTAGTTTCAAAGAGTGCTGGACAGGCACCGCTCATGAGCCAGTTGGAAAAGGNTCAGGTCAACAGCTTCTAAAAGAGAAAACGCCGCCGCATGGATCAATTTAATACTCCGACTAAACTAAACTCAGTGGCGCGACAGCCCATAGAGGGCCAAGGCCTACTCTGCCCATCCCAGTTTTCTTGACCTTGGGCTCTGGGATGCAGGAGCTGATGTTCCGGTGAGTTATTCAGCCGAAAGTGGAACCTCCAGTGTTTAGTTCCCAAGCATGCTTGGTACTCATTTATCGACCCACTGAAGGGATGAAAGGCTGAGTCAACCTTGCCCGGCCCGAAGATCGAACTCAAGACCTGTGGCTCGGGAGCGCGAAGAGCGGCACTCAGCCACCGGGCGTCAAAATTCCGACTAAGTGAATACAAACTGCGCAATGCTTGAAAAATAAGAAAAATGTCACAACATTCGGGCTACTAAAGGATCCGATTTCTCGTTTATGATAAAGCGCGCGAAGGCCTTCTCTCTACCTGGAGGTGTTGTTGAGGCACTCCCAGCGATTAGCGAATATTCGAGGCAATGATTTCATACTTGGGATACAAATCAGGTTAATATCAAATCAAAATGGATTTTAAACTATATTTTAAACACCAAATATATAGCATATTTTATATCAAAATACTCCTTAATTTTTCAATAGTTAGGAAACCTTTTTTGTAAATTGTTCATTTTGTTCTTTTTTGCGAGAGATTAAAGTTACATCTTTTAAAGAAAACATCTGTTAAAGATTTATAAATGTCTCTGACAAACACACTAATAGCCGTTTATTATTAATTGCCACGGCTCGAGATTTCATACACTGACGTTATTTCTGAATATAACCCTATCGATAAGTGTTATAATAATAACCAAACAAGCCTTTAAATTGAAAGCAAAAATTGGTTTTGTATAAAAAGAATGATAGCTTTCTTTGATCGACTTAAAGTAACAAATCTTATCACGGCCTAAACTGGTGCATTTCCCCATTACAGCCTTAAAAGGGAACACTTCATGCCACACTAAACCACTTCAAATACGTTAACTAAGGTACAAAAACGTTTTTAAAAAAATCGCGGAAATGTTTTTTCGTAATTCCCGAAAGTATTCACTTCTCTACAAGCCAAATTTAAATTATTTATATTATATTTAAGAAAAAAACTGTTACAAGAATAAAACGTTCACGCTTATACTTTTTGTCATATATATATATTTAAAAAAATAGTTTTACTGAGCAATATTTTAAGTTCGAACAATATAAACTGCAAAATCATTAACTAACGAATATAATGTTTGTTGCAATAATCAAAATGTTGTAACAACCAGATAAATGTAGCAATCAAAAAATAACATTAAGTTCAGATAAAAACTTACCGGATTGTCTTCAGATATTTCATATGGAAACATTAGGAACAAATGAGCAATTAGCAATGCTATCTCCATATTCATTTGAATTACTCTATCAACAGTGAAAACTCTAAAAAATAAGAGTTTAGTTTTGACAAACATAAACTTGATACAAACTCAGCATAGTTAATACAAATACTAGTTTAATTCAAACTTAAATTAATGTAAACTTAAACTACTTAATAAAACGTAATTTAAGCTAGAATTATATAATAGGGAACTAATATATACTCGAATTACTTAATGCAAACTTAACTTTATATAAATACATAATAATTAATACATAATCAGCTATTTAAATGAATCTTTGACTGTTGATAAAAATTAAAATACTTAATGCAAACTGAAACTATTTCTTACAAACTTACATTTAAATTTTAATTTTTGACAGGTTTAAATGGTGTTGATATAAAATTTCGAATAATTTATAATGCATTTTGAATAAAAAATAATAAGCAATTGAGTGCAAAAAGTTCTAATTTGTTTTAAATTCTAAAATCTGAGTAACATAATTTTTAAAGAAAAACGAAGAACGCGTGCTATAAAATGAGGTTAAACGAAGGCACAAAATACCTCCATATGAAAAAAATACCTATTTTTAATAACTTAACTTAATAAGAGAAATTAGATTTATTACCGCATTAACATCATTTTTTTAAATTATAACTACGAATAGCAAAAGTGACGAATTCGGAGTTTTCTCAAAATTTTTCTTACAAGTACAAGTTTAGTAATGTTAAGGCTATGTTTATATCTAAGAGTTGTCTAAATGAAAACTGGGTATGCATGATATAGTCAAATAAGCAGCTAAACAGCTTCACCCTTCAGGGCTATGAGTTAGGATAAAAGGAGTAAACCAATGACTGGCGTATAACTATTGAACCAGTGCTCAACAGAGCATTTAAGGTGAATGTAAAGTAGTGCTGACATAGATTATTTCCCCAAAAAAAGAGCAGTAGAACGGGTTATTGAGCGTGATGTGGACATGTATCGCTGAATGTTTGCTGTTTATGGCAAACGCTATCTAGGAAAAACGGCTGCAAAAAGTATCGTAAAAGTTTGTGAACAGCGAGAACATAAATATCGAATCTGTCAAGACCCAGTATAAGCTAACCCTTTGATCTCCAGTTAATCCATTGTTATTAATAATGAAGTGATTAGATGTAGTTGTTCTGTGATGACTCCTGACATATGTGCAGGATTTTGTCTGAGAGGAATAAAAGAAAGATACAATCACTTTCAGCCACTAAAAATTACGCCACTTAACATTGTTTTGGCTTAGACGCACCCTTCTTAGCTCAATTTTACAGTTACTTTAAATAATCAGAGTGATCTGGTTAATAAGTGCACCATTTAGCGGAGTACTTTCTCTTATAACACTGAATGGTGACACTTCTATGTCCGCTTCTCATTTGAACAATCCGTAACCTTGTAATTTTGAACCCAACTCGAAAGACAAACGAACTCCTGGATCAAGTATTAAAAAGAGTCAGCTCTCTTGGATGAATTTTGATGAAACTACAATAACCCACATTTGCGTTTCATGGAAAGTAAAACCATGAAAACCTTCCACGGTTTGCAGAGGGAATATAATCTATAATCCGTTTCCCACTAAGGATATTTAAGTCATCACTGTGGTCGGTGCAAACCGGAAATCATATCGACCATTCGAACCGGGCCACCTCACTAGGAAGCAAACTATCTATTCCTTCATTTGCTGTTTACAGCCAGTTACAAAATAAAATCATTATATTTAGGATAAATATCCCTTACAAAAAAATAAGGTGTTTTTAAGGTTTACAAATGTAAAATATACACCTGAGGAAGAAAATGAGGTTAGATTATGCACCAAAGATAACCTCGTTGAACCTCAAGAAACCTCACAAAATCACCCTTTATATTATAACTCGGTAATACTATTAGTTGAGATCGGGTGAAATTAATCACACCTCTAATAGATTTGTTTATTTGAAGTATAGAAAAAATAACCCGTATCCCTCAAAAGCAACCTCCCTTAGCTAAGTAGATTTCAATCATTCTCAAAGCAACCTCAAGTGTGAATAAATTAACTTCATACACTTTGATTATATATCTTGAGAGATTGATTTTTTAAAGTTGTTCTTGAAGTCAAGATCAAATAAACCTCAAATCAACCTTAAATTTTTATAACGGTAGTTCTAAATAGTGCAGAGTCATACTACCATTGCTTTGTTTGAAGTTTCTCATACCATTTCTCTGCTTATGTCGTCGAAAATTTATATTTGTGAGATCAATTCAAAGCAACCACATAGCAACACGAAAACTTTTAAATTGGAACAAACAAAAGAATCCAAATAGAGCAATTATTCCCTAGGTCTGATTATTGTCCCTATAAAAATACGAGAAATCAGATTTACTCTCTACATCCTAGGCTAAATATCGAAACCATTCCACCATAAATTCCCTAATTAACCATTCAAATGTGAGATTACTCATTTCTATTATTTTGAAATTATAACAAATTAGTTTCAAATATGATTTATTTCATTTTATCTCAGTTTTCGACTTTAAATTCACATGAATACATTTTGACTTTAAAGAAAATTATGTAAGAAAATAGTAGTAAAGTTTCAAGAATTTAGACATTCTCTTTCAAAATCAAGAGGTTCTTATTTCAAACCTCTTAAAAATTGTTGCATAAATTATAAGTGCAGAATAAGTAGTTTTAGTACTATTATAAAATGAGAATTTATTTTGGGTATCAGTACATGTCCTGAAAATAGGTACAATTATTAAAACATTTATTTATTTAAAGAATTCTCAATTCATTATGTTTATATTTTGCTTTAAAAAAAAACAATACAAATGTGCGAAAGAAACCAAGCTTATAAATTCTATTATACGTCACGATTCATAAATATTTTACATTAAGCAGATTTCTAAAAATACATTTTAAAATGTATTTAAAAATACCACAGAGCTGTGTTAAGAAAAGCAAGTCGTGAAATTTATGGGCTTTTAAGGACTTGTATAGGACAATTTTGCTTTGAATATTTAATGAAAAGAATTAGAGAATTAATACATTAGTTTAACCCTCGCAACTGGCCTCAGGACAACTAAATATATCAAATAGCGATTAAAAAATATTATCAGCCCCACGCCACCCAATTCCCACATTGTTTTCATGAAAAATGCACCAAATGCGCATTTTATTTTTATTTTTAAAAATGGAATTATGAATATTTTATAATATTTTATAATATTCTAAAAAATACTATTTTTTCACGATTGTTTCTTAAGACTCTTTTTCTTTTTAGAAATGAATCTCGTAATGTTTACCAGATTTTAAGAAATACTTCAAAAGAAATAACTTTCGAAATTAAAATTTTTAACTGATTTAAAATTTTCTGTTTTTAATAAATGGCCACATCCTTACATGATAGATATTTAACATTTTGAAAAGAACTAATCACGCACTTAATAGTTATTATTCCAATTAAAATGAATTTCGTTGAATTGTAATCACACATTAATTAACATGCTACCAATTTTGCCAATTTGCTAAACCGTCAGTGGGTTAAAAGTTATCATAAGACAAATATTATTCCATGACTATTTTATTTTATAACCGTCGTTAAACAGTCGACCAGATTTTGAGTTTACGACTACCAATGTTCAAATCTGTAGCCTTGTAATTTTGAACCCAATGAAAAAGACAAGGGAACACCTAGAGGAAGTATTGGGTTAAATTTGCCTTTGCGGAGGACTTTTTGATGAAACTAACCAGCATTTACTTCACATGGAGAAGAAAACCACGGAAACTTCCAACTGTTAGTCTGACGACAAGGGGACTCTAACCCATGATCTGTCTACCACTGAGGATATTTTACGTCAGCACTGTGGTCAGTGCAAGCCAAATGCGGAATTCGTATCGACCAGCCATTGCTGGGATTCAAACCCGGTTTACCTCATCGTCATTGGAAGGTGAACGCTTTAACCACTCAACCATTACGGCTCAGGCGAGCGCTATTGAAATATTTATGACTATTTGAATTAGTACAACAAAAATTTCCCTCCTTTTTTTCACTTTTTTTTTCTTTTGTAAAATGGGAAGTTTTTAAACAGCTGCCACCACTTTAGATTTCAGGTATTGGGTGCACATTTTTATAAATGGATCTTAGGATAGATATTTTTTCGTGTGAATGCTTAAAACTTAACTTCATAAACACTTATTTACAATCACCTTAAATCTGAAGTATAGTTCGTTCACCAGGAGTTGGCACTTGGCTCCGCCTTCATCACGTGGTATCGGATGATACTATTTCGCTATTTTGGGGAGAAGGATGAGAACAGGGCTGCTTTTTGGCGATCGTATGACAAAAATATTTATTTCGCAATCATCATGTGCATATTTTGAGCATGCGCATTTTATTTCATAAACTTGTTGATATTTCTCTCTTTTTATTGAATAGTTTGTTCTTTTTGAGATATTTTGCTGGGAAAAAAGTTCTTAAATATAAATTAGCTAGAATAACGAAAGGTATAATAACTGATGATAAAGCGAAGTAAGTCACTGAAAAAGAATTCACTGTTTGTGTTTGGCCATCACCTTCTACATCAGAACCTGCCTAGCCTGGTTTCTTATGGTTCTTTCTACTCGGTTTCTTATAAGTAGTCTGCGCAGACTATTTAAAAAGTGAACAGTTTGAGCGGATGAAACCAAATTCTATTTTAAAAGTGACTGAGAGGAATTTGTCATAGATATTTGAGAATTGAATCTGTAGTGGTAGACAAGTAAATAAGACAAACTAATCATATTCAAAAATTAAACAAATTTTTAGACATCTATTTGCTACCACTTTCTTATTTTTACTAGATTTTCTATTAAAGGGCTCTTTCGTAAACTGGTTTGCCTTCATAGTGGTCTGATTGGACTACCTATAAAAAACCGTGTGGAGGCTCTGCGCGCATTAGAGGTTATCTCGATTTCAAGCGGGGAAATGCTTCTTCACTTACTCCCCCGCGCTGAAATAAACTCTGCGTCAGAGGAGGTGGAGCCAAGTGCCAACTCCTGGTGAACGAACTATATACTTACCACCAATTTTTAAAGTCCGTGGTGAACTCTTTCACCACTTTCAATTTAGGTTTCCATTTGATAATAATTTCAGCTCTTGAAGTGCGTTTGAATAAAATTGGTAACAATGTGTTAGTTTAAGAAAACGTATAAAAGTTATAAAATACATAATTCCTTTCGAAGTTTGCAGCATTTATAAAATTTATTTTATAAATAACAAAAAATGAAAGCCAATAAGTTCTAAATAGGCCGTGGTAAATATTCTTACCACCAAAAAAATGGCATTAAAATTTAAATAAATTTTTTATACGTTAAATGAGTTTTTTTTCTTATATCAATTACTATTTTCATATCAATTTCAATTCCAAAAATTCCTTTATTTACCTTTACTAGAAATAAATGGCCCACTAAAGGGTTAATTAGTTATTTTAGGCTCTAAATCTTTACAACTAACTGCATTCCCAAAATTNTATCTAACTATATATAAAAATCCAATGATGGTGTCGCACCAGCCAATGAAATCTAAGGTATCACGTGACAGTATGAAAGAAGTAGCTAATCCAAGCGAGGATGCAGTTTTAAGCCAATCAGAAAACAGAACGCATTCGCGTCAAAGCTTTTTGTTGATTTACTTTGAGTGGTTTTTTGCTGATTACATCTCATCTTATCTTATCATTCTTATGCCTATCCAGTGATTGATATCTTTTAAAGTTTACATTTTTGTTGTTTGCTATTATAAAGCTTACTGAGGCTTGATTACCTTAAAATGGTTAAATTTTAAATCACATTTATTTATTCAACTCATTTCAATCGTTTGGAATTTCAGTATAATGTCTGACAGGACAGATCGCGATCGAGAATATCGCAGACAGCGGAGATTGGATCCCACGTTTCGTCAAAATGAACAAGAGCGTCGAAGAATAAATCGACAAAACAATCGAGAGCTTACTAATGCCCGCCAAAGAGAAAATCGAAGTAGGGCAGCTAATCGTCTTCGAGAAATAGATGAAAATCAGTATTTGGGAGAATCGTACAGTCGCACTTATGCTCTGCCGCGCATTTATATCCTTATATAAATGTATTAAAATTTGTTTGCGAAGCAAATAAAAAAGAATTGCGTAGCAATTCTCGGGGGTTGGCGAGCAGGGGGCGGAGCCCCCTAGTTTTATTTATACTTTTTATTTACATTTTAATTTTCTTTAACTTCATCCATTTTTTTATTTTTTTCACCTGCTTTTCTTTTTGAAGTAACGAGGCGGTTTCTAGTTAGATGATGAATTTTTATAAAAGTTCTTAACGACAGAATAACCGTATTGCTGCTTTATATTAACTGTGTCATTTCGGAATCCATTCTTTACATAGTTGTTCATTTACTTTAGGGAACACGCGGAAAATTATATTTTTTCCTTTTGTTTTTATATCAAAAATTTTTCGAGTTTCAATCGCGCAAACTGGCTTTTCGATAATAGTTCTAAATTCCTGTAAATTCACTGCAGAAACTGAGGAAAGTCATTATAGAAAATAACAAATGTCTTAGAATATCTCGCAAAAAGAAATGCTCCAATATTAGTTAGAGCTAGTAAGGCCGAACGCTCCGTTCTTGAAGTAAAAGGGCGAGCTTTGCGCCAAAGTGACGTCACTAGAGAAAATCGGAGGATTGGCGCTGCGAGAGCTACTTCAAAGGAGTGAATCAGCCCTTCTATTCTTTTTAGCCCTGTCTTGCTCAGGGCTTGCTCCACCTTGTTAACAAAAAATATATGCAGCTGTTGATGGATCATGGATTATGCTTAGTCATTTTTGTGACCGGGCTAATCATGAGAAGTTTTCGTGGTTTACTTGTCCACGAACCATAAATACGAGCTTGTTTCATTCAAAGAGTTTTGCGGTGTCAAATATTGATGCAGCCGTAAATCCACTATGAATTAACCGTTAACACGGGTTACAAAATAAAATGTATTTGTTAGAATATCTTTTTAAATGTTGTAAATTTCTTATATTCTTTTTAAATTTTGAGCGTACTTGCGAAATATCAAGCAAACTAATAAATAAAAAATATGTACAGAAACATGCATAATAATTGAATCAAGAATGTAATTTTTTTTCCAAATTATGAAGGGAAATAATGTTTTTAGAAATTTTTTCACTCAACAGCGTAGGTCTACTAGTTCTTGCTGAAGAAATAATCGAAAGAGGTTAGCACCAAAAAAAAATAATGAAAGAAAAAATTTGAAAATATTAAACTGAAGAATCCCGTCGAAAATTCTTCCAAAAACATTAATACTTTTTGAATGGCTAATTGCTAGTTGGTAGTTGGCTAATTTTTGAAAAATTAGCTATTTTAGAATGATTGTATGTATGTCCTAAGGAGCATCCATGAGTATTTGCAAGGGAAGCTTCACAATTGCAGAACGTAAAAAAGCCCAATTTGATTTTCAAAAATACTATAAAAACTAAGAAATTAGCAAAAAGAATTATCAAAAACTATAAAATCTATGCAAATATGAATAAAACTGGCCTAGAATTTGAAAAGAGATCATATTAAATACTAATTATGAGTATTAAATTTCCTTTTTAACTGTTGTTTTCCAAAATGCGTGTTTGATGCAATCAATACGCTCACTACTAGGATGTTTCTATTAATTAACAATCAGTATTCAATATTGTAATGCCATAATAGGCATTAAATATTTCCCAGCTTCTAAAATTTCTTTGATTTCGTAAATTTAATTCTTTTTAATCATTCCTAATTTAATTTTAATTAAGTTCAATTAATTATTTAATTTTATTACATTTCATAAAAAGCTAATATAAATATTTTATTCTCTTCTTAACAATCCATGTAACGGCTAATTTTTTAATTCAATGAAAATGTAAAACTCATTAATTCACTGGTCGCTACTAAATCTAAAGCAAACTATTTGTAACTGTTTATTCTTTATTTCTCTTACCACAAAAATGTTTCAGTTACAGAGTTGTACTTATTCTCCCGATCATTTTTGGCGATTAGCGATAGCCAAATTACTTTCAATTTAATATTGATTAAGTGAGATTAGCTTTGTTTTTGACTATTTTATCTTTTGATAAATCGCCAACCATGGATCTCTTCCTATGCTCTATTGGGAACAATTCAGTCACTTTTTATTTTGGCGGTTGATTAGGCTGGTCATGGGGGATTTATCTCCCATGGCCTGTCCTCATTGATATTATTATACAAAATTTATTATTTCACTTAAAAAGTCCTTTGTATAAAATATTCTTTAATTTTGTGTCTCGAGTTCTACAACTGTTACTGAATAAAGATTTTATTATGATCCTGATTTCGTCATGATTTCAATTATACCATACAACTGCAACCGCATCAAATTACATCAATTTAAATACTAAATTCTTTATTCAGTAAATATGAAATAAGCTGACATTTTAAATTTCGAATGAATAACAAAAAATCTAAACTGCTTTTCTAATACAGTAAGTAAAATTTTAAAAATTTTGAAATTGCAATGTAAAAATTACTGAATACAAAATATGTCTGACTTTACATCATACTTTACTTTAATAATTATTAAAGTTACTATGTAAAAACTACTCAATACAAATTATGTCTGACTCTACATCATACTTCATTTTAGTAAATTTTAAAGTTACTATGTAAAAACTACTGAATACAAAATATGTCTGACTCTACATCATACTTTACTTTAATAAATTTTAAAGTTATTATGTAAAAACTACTCAATACAAAATATGTCTGACTCTACATCCTACTTTATTTTAATAAAATTTTAAATCTCATTACTTGCATTAATTTGAACAGCCACTTTATAATAAAAGGCTAACCTTTTATTATAACCATGGAAATTTCTTTTACTTACACAATTATTTGAAAAAACTTTGCTTTCTACATTAACAAATTGATTAGATTCACAGATGAAGCTACGCGAAGCATTTTTGCAATAAACATTCAAAAACGTGCAAAGTTTACAAAATTTTGCAAACGTGCTAATTAAACTCTCCATTTATTAAATAACTTTAAGTAAAAACGCAAATTGGATTCATTAAATGAAATAACAGAAACTCATTAATTCAATCATACCTTTTAAACAATTGAACGAAGTAAAACGTATGAAATTAAATGTTCAAAAAACGACATAATATGTAATAAAAAAGACACCATCTTCATTTAAAAACATTTTAACATTTCTGCGCACGGAATAAAAGAATTGGGTTAATTAAATTTTCGAGAGCGCAGCTTTCAAGATATCTTACCTCATTATAATGAAAATTATCAAAGTTAAAGACACCATAACTAAAAGAACTGTACTCGCTGTCTTTGTTACAACTACAGCTACTGTTTTCTCAACCTAGGAAAAGACATTTTTTTTAAAGAATAAAAATATATATCGCTACATTTACAATGAATAATTATAATATGTCTAAAAATATTTCTCACAATTATTCGCCTTCAATTATTTTTCACAAAATAATTCAAAATATTTTTCACAAAATAATTAAGAATATTTTTTGCGAATCTTGAAAACTTAACAACAAATAACTTCAAAAGTTAAATTATTATGAAACTGTTAATATCTTTAAAACAATTATTATAATCAAATATTTGCGTTTAATTATGCTTGTTAAATTTTTTCCCTTGTTTTAATTGAAATTGAAGTTTTACATTTGATATTTCCGTCTTTCTATTTGATTGCTATTAAATCGTTTATCAAATTGTTTTAAATTTAGCTTATACATTTTTCATGCTTACGTATTGCATGTTTGTCATAACAGCATGCGTATATTAGTTATCAGCTAATTAATTTGTTCTGATTTAATTTACAACACTTTAAAGAAATCATAGTATTTCGTATAGAAATAATTGTTCAAAAAGTATGTAAAGAAAATGTTAGGAACAATATATTGTTGTGATATAAGGAAAAGTTACATATACTTCTAGAATAAATCCTTTTCTTTTTGCAAAAAGTCTAAAACATCAATTGATTGGAACAATAAGGCAATGTCTAAAAATGATAACGACAATTATGTCTGGAATTCATTAATAGTTTTCAACGATTATAACTATTTAATTATTTTTTCAATATTAAGTTCGATTATACATTATATTTAAATAATATACATTTTATTCACCTTTTTATTTATATCATGCTGTTAAATGCGATGATAGAATTAACTCTATCAAAAAATTTAGGACTGAAATAATTAATTATTTATCTTAATCTATTGACTTAACTATTGAAATTCTTTTAATTAAAAAGTTAAATTTTTAATTATTTTATCGAAAATAGATTAAAGATACTTGAATTAAAAAGACTTTCTCTTAAGACGAGGCATCGTTTCTTCGTGAGTGTGTTTATAAATCTCTCTAGGTGTATCATTTCTGAAGTTTTTTCTATTAGCAAAAGAAATGTGAACGATTCTCCTAAAAAAAGGATATTTTAGCTAATCTTACAACATTAATCTTCAGTTTATTATCGGATTTTATAAACAAATATTTATTTCGGAAAAAAAGTTTTTTAAATTTATTTGTTATAATTACATAAAAAAACATGTTTTTTTGTGTATTTTCCTTTTCTGGTTAACATTTGATCATTTTTAAAAAACATTAGAAATAAGACTGAATTAAAAACGGAACCCTTTTTTATGAAAGAATTGAATGCAATGGTAAAATTATACGAAGAAAGAAATAGAAAAATAGAAAATGGAAATTGAAATTAATTTTTTAAAAATTCCATGTTTGACTCAATAAACAAAATGAGGTATAATTGTGTAATCATTTCTTACTCTCAATAACCCAATAAAATGAAACAACTAAACAATATTAATAAATTCGAGTTTAAAATTCTTTTTAAAATTTAATTTTTCAAAAATGCTTAAAATAAATATTAACCACACTGCTGTTGTTTTATTTTTCTTTAAATTAACTGTTAAAGATTACAAAATAGAGTACATTATATATTGCAAAAATACTTATTCAAAAAATATTTTTTTAAAGTAACAGCATGTATCCATTGATGGGCCTCTTGTATATTCATTCTTCGTACGGAATTATAAAAAAGGTAAATAGCTAATGTATCGTTGGGAAAAACTGAGAACCGTACATTAAACTGAAAAACACATATAGACGTAATCATAAAATGTAAAATAATTTAAATTTCTTTTTATTATTATGTCTTTATATTATTATAACTCATCAAAAAAAATTTGCTATCTTTAGAATTATTCAAAATAGAAAATTATACAAATGATATTCATATTGTCCCATTCGTTCCCACACGCCATCAATTTAACCACACTTGTGCTTAAGTAACATAAAAATCAGAGATAAATTACTATACAAGTACGTTCAATAAACTCCCATCGTTACTCGTTCCTTGTTTGAACAGAGCTACTATAAATAAGTAAAAAGAAAAAATAGTCTGCAAGTTAAATTTCAACAACTCATCTGTAATCTTGTGAGAAAAAAAATCGTTTTCCATAGATCTCTTCTTAAAAGATATATATAAAAATTAATGATTTCTAGGATTGAAGGCTAAAACTTGCACCCGATGACCAAATTTTAAGATCTTAGCGCACACAATTTGGGAGTTATAAGAAAGTGAGGAGATACCCAAATAGGCTTATTTACCTTTTCTTCTTATTTACCTTTTCCCTTTGTTCTTTTCTCTCTGTTCTTCTTTTATTCGATTTCTTTCTATCTTTCTTACTTCTTCTTTTAAGCTTCTTTCTTCTCCTTTTTTTTTGCTAATTTTTTTTTCTTTTTCNTTTTTTTGCTAATTTCTTTTTCTTTTTTTCTTATTTTCTCCTTCTTTTCCTTTTTATTCTTCTTTTCTTTTCTTCTTATTGTTCTTTTTCCTTTTATTCATATTCTTCCTCTTTCTCTACTAATTCTTTTTCCATATCTTCTTATCAGCTTTTTCTTCCTCTTCTTTTTCTTTCTATTCTCCTTCTTTTGTTTGCTTCTTCTTTTTTACCTCCTTTTTTCTGCTTCTTCTTTTTTTACCTCTTCTTTTTCTGCTTCTTCTTTTCCTACCATTTCTTTTTCTACTTCTCCTTTTTCTACTTCTCCTTTTTCTTCCTCTTCTGATTATTATTATTACTATTATTATTATTATTGTTAATATATTTTACCTGAGATATATATTTTTTGAAAGTACGAAACCGGCCATAAACTTTCATTTATTAACAGTAAACGAATACCTTCGATTAAATACACAAATTTCTTAAAACAGAAAGCATAAGTAACGAACTGAAAAGTTAAATCATAGCAAATCTTAATCTACTTACAGGACTTAAAGTTGGAATTGGGCGAGGAGTAGGCTTTTCTGGGGGTTTTTCTAAAAGACAAATATGCTCTATAATGATCTTTATAAAACAAGCATACTCAAGTTGAAAAACTATTTAAAAACCAATAATTATTCTTTCGCACACAAAACTAATGAAGCTGAAAAATTAATAAGAAATTTACTAACACACTGTGTCACTGAAATGAAACTCATTTTGCATTTCCAATAAAAGAAGAAACATATATTCACTAATTACCTTATTTGTAATGCAATTCTTTTTAAATAAAAGTATGGCTTTTGATTTTGCATTTATTGCGTTGATAAAGTAGGCACTACTTTTTTTCTTCGTATTTCCAATAAGAGAAAAAGGAGGGCTTTCTCAAAACTCAGCCATTTTTCGAGCAAAGTTATTATTCGAAACAAATTGCTAGAAATTGTATTCGTTAAAATTTGTCTTGCTTGATAGGATGAGTTTTAATTAATACCAATGAGCTTTTATTGATTTTTATGTTGAATATGTATTATTGCATTCTTTTTCCTACATACGTGATGTGGTATGTTTTAAGATAAGTTATGTATACATTTAATGTGAACAGTAAATATATGCTAAAAAAGAAAATAATACAATTGCAAATCACAATTTTGTATTAAATAGTCGGATTAAATTATGTTTAGAATTTAAAATGAAAAGAGTGACAAGGTTAGTTTTGAACTAAAAAAAAATTGCGAGTTTTGTTGTTGATGTTAAAATATTAAAATATTCAGCCGATTTTCCGATAGGCAAATCGACCTGCAAAGCATTAGACTAATATTTTTTTAGAAGGAGTTGCTCAAAAAAGTATAAGTACTTGTACAGGGTTTTTCATTCGCTACACATTTTAAAGGAAATGAAATAATAGGAAACAATAAGGCTTATTATATTCCTATCATGCAGTAATGAATGACACGGAAATTGTCACAATACATTTACACAGTTTTTCTCAGTTTCCAGAGCCATCTGTTGACGCCTTTAGTAACTAACTTCGGAACTTAGCCAGAATAAATTTTCTGGTTCTAGAAGATAGGATTTTTCTAATCCTTGGTCATATTTCTGGGATACTCCGTAACAAATTACGTATTTATTATCTGTGTATTAGTAAATTGCTTATCTATAAAATTATTTTATAAAGTTATATTATTGTCGTACATCTCAGCAAAATTTTATATTTGATATATTTTAACAGAAGGATAATTTATAAGCTTATTTTTATATATATATATATATATATTGGTAAAACGAAACGTAATTTTTAAATTATAAATAACGATATACGAATGCGTTTCGAAAAGTAAAGATACAATGGATCGCATTCCTTAAAAAAAACATTTATTTAGAAAACGTCAGTTACATCTAATTAACTCGATTATTTATTATTTTTCGACATAATCACCCCCGTTATCCAAACATTTGATAAGTCGGTGCACAAGCTTTTGTATCCCACAGTCATAGAAGGTTGCCGCCTGTTGTCGGAACCACATTTCAACTTCATCTTTGATCTCATCATCGTCGTGAAATGATATTCCACCAAGATGTGACTTCAGGTAAAGGAATAAATGGAAGTCGCTGGGAGCAAGGTCCGGGCTGTATGGCGGATGGTCCAATACTTGCCATTTGAATTGTTTGAGTAGTGTTTTGGTTACGAGCGCTGTGTGAGGCCGAGCGTTGTCATGAAGCAAGCGGACTCCATTTGTCAGCATTCCCCTGCGTTTGTTTTGAATTGCCCTTCGAAGACGTTTCAAAGTTTGGCAATATGCAGCAGCACTAATTGTCGTTCCGGGAGGCATAAACTCCAACAGAAGAATTCCGTGTCTGTCCCAAAAAACAGAAGTCATGATTTTTTTCACTGAAATCGAAGTTTTGGATTTCTTGGCTATGGGTGAATTCGAATGGCGCCATTGCATTGATTGTTGCTTGGATTCAGGTGTATGGTGATAAACCCACGTCTCGTCACCCGTCACAATGTGATCAAGGAACTCATCACCTGCTTCTGCATAGAGTGTGAGGAAGTCGAGTGCAAAGCCCATCCTTTTCTTTTTGTGTTCTTCTGTTAACATTTTTGGAACCCAGCGCCCACACAATTTCCTGTACCCTAACTTGACAGTCACAACTTCATAAAGAGTTGTCATTGACACTTCCGGTATGATCTGACGCAATTCCTTCAATTTGAGACGTCTATTCGCACGAATTGCTTCCTCCGTTCTCTGAAGAAGGGCATCACAGATCACAGATGGCCGACCTGTTCTTTGTTCGTCATGAATATCGGTCTTACCTTCAGAGAAATGACGACACCACTTCGTTACATTTTGTCTACTCATAACGTTCCCATAAACAGAAACAATTTCTTTGTGAATATCCGCTGGTCTCTGACCTTTTGCATGAAGAAAACGTATGACGGAGCGCGCTTCGCATTTAGCGGGATTCTGAATCGCCGCAGCCATTTTAAACACGACCTACTCCAACCAGAATCAACGTTGAAATGCCGAACGACCGCGAGGAGAAAGCTAACGGTTCAAAGTTAAAACCTGTGTTGCCAACTTGCTCGCCAAAACTTTTCTTTTCCTCTGGCGTACAGTGTATCTTCACTTTTCGAAACACCCTCGTACTACATGATGAAAAGGAAAATTCAGAAAATAAATAAATTTATCTTGACATTTCCTGACAAAATACCGCTAATTTTAAATTATAAATAACAATATATTTGACAAAAGGAGCGCAATACTGAACTACATGAAAAATGAATTTTGCATGAAAATAAGTGCTTCGAAATATGTGTTTGAAAATAATGAATCTATATTTATATTATGGTTACCACGCATCCTTTTCCCAAAAAATCTGCATTTTTGCTTGGTAACTTTAGATTTTAAAAACACACTATAACAACTTTCAGGCAAAGGAAGGACGTTCTCATTCATTCGCAATGTAACTGTTACCAACTAAGTGATCATTTCGGCGTTATTGTGACTTCACCGATACTTTTAGCAACAAAAGTCTTATCTACCTGAACGAAGTTTCGAGGCTCTCGTTGTTTCAGAGAGCCAGATATCTCAGAATTCATTGAAAGCCTGGTAAATATTCTCCTACAAAAACGGAACGCGATAGACCATTTTGGTTTTGATACCTGAATAAAGCGGCTTTTGAATCACATAATTCAATTATCCTTTTGGCTACGGTGCATGACAGCATCTGATATTCTCTACTTTCAGTTGTACCAGCCGTAAGTAAAGGATTAATGGACTGAAAAAGTATTCAAATTTCTTGTAGCGTGTAAAAATTAATGAATTTCAAGTGCTTTTTTTTTTACAAAAAAATTAACGATTTCAATTTTTAAAAAATATGTAACTGATAAAATTAGTTATATAAATCATAAATAATTTTACATTAAAAAATGTTTGTCAAAAAAAAAAGCTAAAAATTATGAATGACCATATGTTTGACTAAATGAGTAATTCAAAAGAGTAAATGAATTTACCTTGACATTGCCAGTATTTTGCATTAAGTTCATATCCCATAACACATTTGCACTTCCTCTTGGGTCCCTTTTCACTGCTTAAATCATCGCACTTGGCTCTCTCAGGACAATATTTCAAATCATCAATATTGCTATACTCATCGGAATCTTGGTCACATGGATCTAGTTTAGATTTTTAAGAATTATACATCACATATAGTTTTAAAAAATGCGTATCGGATATTTTTTTATACATCAAATTAGCAATGGAAACCACCGTACACTTTACAAAAACAATCAAACATTTGCTTTATTATAATTCAAACTTTTGAATTTTCAAAAATTATGCAAAATTTTAATGTTTATTTTATTTAAGTAATCAAAAGTTTTTTGTGAATACAAATTATATCAAAATTACAAGTGTATAATAAACCGGGTAATGGCACCTGCATCCCTTGATTAGTCAAGTTATTAAAAATAATAAACAAAGATTATTTTTGATTGATTATTATGTTTGGTATTTGATTTGGAGAGATAATTTAACCATAGCCAACAGTCCTCATTATAGGAAGAGTACCATAGATTGTATACAGTGAGTATATTAAGGTTAAACTTCACTTTAATCTTTTAATAATGAATATAAATTTTAAAAGTTTTAGAAAAAGGAGATGATTTAAGATTGTCAATGGAACTGATTTACGATTATATACTAATGTGGCGGTTTCAAGAAATAAAAAATAAATAAATAAGCAAATAATTTTAAAAAAATAGAAAACGATACAATATTTATGCTATTTCAACAAATAAGATTCCATGTAAAAAATTAAAAAAAACTAGCTGTAACGCGCAATTATCTCGATAGTTACTGAAAGAATTTCAGCAATTTTCAAAAATAATTTTGGCTACTGATAAAAGAAACTCCTCGTTTCGGATTTTTACCTTAAGGTTTTGGTCACTCCCTGGTTTTACCGCAAAAGTTTGATAAAAGTCTGACACGGAATTATATTAAAACATTCTTCGGGCTTTTACGAAGCGATTTTGATAATTCTTAATTTTTACCGGTAAAACCTAGGATTTACCAGACGTTGGGCATTTACAAAACATATATAAAAAACTTAATTATAAAATAATGTTAATGCTCAAAATAAAAAAAGAAAATTTAACTTTTAAATTATTTTTTTAATTCATTTACACAAAAGTTTTTTGTTCATTTTATTTTTACTACTATGTGAACTTATTTCAATCTTTAAAATACAAGTAATTATATTAAAAACCATATTGAATCAACATTGTTATTGATAAATTGTCGAATTAACATCGTTGTTGAGAAATAGTTGAATCAACATATTAAATTTTAATACATTACGAAATTGGAGGTTAATATTTTATGATTGTTATATTGGCAAATATTTTAATTTGAAATTATATACAAAATACAGTATTTTGTTGGTTTTCAATACATAGGTTGCATTTTTTTAATTACCTGGACCTTTAAGACACAGATATGATTAAATCTTTATTTCTGAGAAAAAAGCAAAAAATATATATGATGGCGCAGTAACACTATAAATTCGATGACCCTCCAACATTAGAAGAGATGACCACATAAAATTGAGGAATGACAGCCACTTTTCATTAATACGTGTAGACATACCAGAGATCGTAAGGTCCTTAAACAATTTAAAAAAGTGGTAAAAAAGTTAGATAAATCTTAAGTTTTACCGATAAAACCTGGGTTTTACCAAACTTCGAGTTTTACGTCAACATATATATTAGTACAAACAAAATGCTTTACATTTATATGTTTTAATATTCCCACACAGAAAAACATCTTATCATTCAAAAATACATGTTGCTTAACTATAAAACGTCGGTTTATTTGATGTTAAGAAATTGCATACATAAATGTGAAGTTACTGAAAGTCTGGAATTTTTCAAACTCAAATAAAATAAATATTATCGCTATTACTCGAAGGTTACCGTTTGAATAAAGCTACATAAAAAAGAATTTCTTACATATTTTTTTTCTTTTTGATCTTCCCTAGGGTAACTTTCAAAAGAGAAATTAAGATTTCTTCTTGTATTTCATTTCCTTGTTTCCCTTTTATTATTCAGACTCTATATGAAACATTCAATTTCTTTTAGATACGTTGTTTGAGCTTGAAACAATATATTGCATCTAATATATTGCGATAGTTGCATCTGGCTGTGATATTCAACCAAATGAAAAACAAAAAGTCTACAAATTTTCATCCTTTATCTTAAAATTAAATTTTTTATCTGCTTTTAGCATAAATTAATTGACATGCTCATTGCTACCGTCGCAGTATATGTTAGAAACTGAATAAATTTTTTTTTAGTTTTTTTGCGGAATGAAATTCTAACTCTTGTACAGTTATAAATGGTTTCAAGTACTCAAGTTCAAATACGACGAGTAATACAGGGTGTTTATAAAGTCCCGGACCCATTTTGATGTTTAATAACTCATAAAATAATAAAGATAGATTAAAATTAATAACGTAAATGGTTAGATAGACTCAAAAAGTTTCATGATCCCTGTCAATGAACTTCCACGTGTGCCCCCTTCGTTTAACGCCGCTGGACTTTTTTCTTTGGGGATTTATAAAGGACAATGTTTACAGGAGGATCGTGTCTAAAATTGATGACCTAAAAGCCAGAATTACAACCGAAATAGCCTCTGTGGATGCCGACATGCTTGCCGCTATCTGACGTGAAATTGACTATCGACTTGATATTCTCCGTGCACACGAAGGGGGCACACGTGGAAGTTCATTGACATGGATCATGAAACTTTTTGAGTCTATCTAACCATTTATGTTATTAATTTTAATCTATCTTTATTGTTTTATGAGTTATTAAACATCAAAATGGGTCTGCGACTTTATAAACCCCCTTTACAGTTCACAATGTCTCTCGATATAAAAAGAAATCGTAAGGGACAGCGTCCATGTTTAGATATACAACTTTACGTTATATTTTGTTTTACAATGCAAACACTATAACACTTAGAAACTTGAAATTACAAACATGAAATTATTTTTATGTAAAAAATGTAAATGAAGTCCGATGAAATTAGAAAATTTAACATTCAATGGCTTTTTTCTAGAATTGTTAATTGTGAAACTTATAATAAAAAATAGACGTTCTACAGCCCACAGAAATCTCTCTAAAAGGTTGAAATTTGACGCGTTGAAAGAGCCATTTTTATTTATAAACTTTCCTCGTGTTTTTTTTTCTTTCTTTTTTACCTTTTTCGAAAATCATGGCGATTTTCAATGTTTTTTAGCGAATTTTTTCTCATATTTTCTTCTTTTTTTTGCTTTAAATAATATTTAGTCATAATTTGCTGTAAAAAATTTATAAACTTTCTCTATGTTATTATGTTATTTTATATGCTCATGCTTACATGCTGTTGTTGAACATAGCAAAAAAAGAGAAATTTTGTCAGAGATAATTGATTGAAAGATGTTGCCAGGGGTAACGTCTTAACTTGTATATTGGTATTTTTAAAAATATAAAAGACTCGGGAAGATGAAGCCCTTTCCAGATTGAATTGTTACTTAAGATAAAATTAAATTAATATATTTAACATTCAGATCTACTATTCATTTATTGCTTTTGACTGTATCGCACATTTTGTATTTCGAAATTTAAGTATTTTTTTTCAAGTCCAGATGATTATCCAGGCAAATAAGTATTTCATTGCAATTGACGTAATATCAAAATGTTCTTAAATAAAATTATAATAAATTTATATTTAATGAACAAAGTAAACTAATTTTTTTTTAAATTATCTTTCAAAAACAATAATGAATGCGTAGCAACCACAGAGATGCTAACTGCTCCGGACACGCCAAAATAATTTTAAAAAAAGGTAAATAACTTCAAAGTAAATTTTTCAAATATTTGACTATTTTTGCTTTTTTTTTCTGAGAGGTATAGCCTGACATTAGTACTCCAAAGTGATGAACTATATAAGACTACGAATTATTTCGAAATATTGGTGGATAAAACTCTACTAAATTGAATTTATTAAACCAAGAATCACAAATGATGAACTACCACTTTAAAATATATATTTGGTGTCCGGAGCAAGTTGCCATCTCTGCAACCATGAGAGTTGGCGATCGGAGCGAGCAGGGGATGGAGTTAACGGAGTTCAACAGAAATAAACAACGCTTCAAACATATTTGAATAATCTTTTCGTTAATAAAGTTTTCGTTATATATCATCAACGAGTAAAATTACATCTTTTATTTCTTCTTATTGTGTCATACATTTCGTTTCTTTAAGAACATATAATTATTTTTCAAGTTCCGGCAATCATTTATTTCGTTACAATTAACATTTGCACAAAATGTACTTACAGGAAATAATAATAATTATACATTTCATTAACTAAAGGATCCCTGTTTTTTTAAGATATTGATTAAGGGGGGAAACAATGATGAATGCGAAGCAATCACGGGGATTGGGTGAGAGGAGCCTCTTAGTTGTTTAAAAAATCGTTTATCAGTAATTTACATAAATGTTTAAACTAAAATTTTAGCTCACTCAATTAAATCAGGTTTAAGTAGTACTCAGGAGAAACTTAAATTTTTTATAACTCACATTATTTTACGAAAGTTTGTCAAGGAAATTGACCAACTATAGAGTGCAGTACGTTTATCTGCTTTTTATATTTATTTAAGTAAATCGTTTTCGTAGTTTGGAAATCGATTTCTTGTTTTTTCTACATTTTACCTGAAAAGTAAACAAACTCAACCGTTTTTATTTTTTAAGCTTTCAAATCATGGAATGTTTTTCTTGCTCTGTTGCTTTCATATCCTTTTTTTTTCTCTCTTTTTATTTCAATGTATCGTTTCTTTTAAGAAAATTGGTTGATTCTTTGTGGTTTATCTTTCTCAACTATCTTAAGGCTTTTTTTTTCTTTTCATTATTTTAAAAACAGTTCGGTGTCACGAGGATTTAACTTCTTTTTTAAGCTCTGTCTTCGAACAAATTTAAGCTCTTTCTTTTTTCCAATAATGAAAACATTTTTTTAAAAAAAACACGCATCAAAATAATCCAAAGAATATTACTTCATTTTCCCTGGTTTCTATATATTGATTTGATTCCTGTGCTCATGAAGCGAAATTTCGAATATTTCAGTTTTGATTATTATAAGCCGATTTAAAGGGAGTAAAAATTATAGACCGTCTTATATAAAGCATGTACAACAAACTATTAAAACTATATTACACGTCTACAGCTTATAAAAAAATAATACTCGGATGATTTTTAAATTCTTAGAAAATTTCTTCTCCTTTATTTCTACTGATAATCATAAATTAGTTATCAAAATTTCGCTTTCAAATTTTGAGAACAAAAAGCATTTCAATCATGCATTAATAATAGATTAGAAGGTAATATTAAATTAAAAGGAATTTTATTTTTGTTTCTTTTAATTTAAATGAATTTTTATCATTCTTATATTTAGATTTCTTTATTGAAATACTTATTGTGCTAAATATATTGTACTAGTGCTACTGAGAATATTTAACTGATTTGCAAATGAATACGCTAATAAATTTGCATACTATACGTTTATATAGTTCAAACTACGGATTATTGCAAATGAGATTTAGGTTTAATTTTCTATCGAATGAAAAAAAACTACATTAGTATCCGTTCTTAGTGCGAGTTTTTAAAAAAAAGGTAAATAATCAATAAATTTGAATTAATCAATAGTACGAAATCAAACACAAAACTGAAAGCCATAAACCAACCCACTTTATAAAGCTAATACATAACCAAATTTGTTTTTATTTATTAATATTCGTTCCTTGTTTAGTGACTTTCAGTTATTAAATTAAGTAAAACTTGCTTTTAGAAGTTCATTCCAGCAAAATTATGATTAACTATACTCAGTATCATTTGACATGATGATGTTCCTCACAGCCAACTCATGATAGTCAAAATTAACATCAATAACATTTTTTTTTTTCTTTTCAGTTTTTATTAATTTCAAATTATTTAGTTTTATAGAAACGCGTTTCAAAACTAACAATAATCAAAATAATATTATATGTTTTTGATAAGGTTTCTAAAAACCTTAAAATTCATGTATATTCATTCACTGAATTAGTTTTGAATATGTCTAACCTTTTCCATTTATGAAGTAAAATTATTTAATAGGAGTTGTAAAGTAAATTAACGAAAGTATTTACCTATATTACAATAATAAAAATATTGACCCGCAAAGATCGTGATGTACTAAGATTAAATATGGTGATTCAACAATTTTTCAACAGCAGTGTTAATTAGGCAATTTATCAATAATAATGTTGACTCAATAATTTTTTTAACGTAATTACTTATATTTTAAAGATTGAAGAAAGTGCATATAGTAAAAATGAACAAAAAAGTTTTGTGTAAATGAATTAAGGAAATAATTCGAAATTTAAATTTCTTTTTTTTATTTTGAGCATTAACGCGAACATTATTTCATAATTAAGTTTTGTAAAAGCCCAAAGTCACGTAAATTTTAGGTTTTACCGGTAAAACTTAAGATTTACTAAAATGGCTTTGTAAAATCCCGAAGTATGTTTTAATATAATTCCGTTTCTGACTTTTACCAAACCTTTATTGTAAAACCTAGGAGTAACTAAACTAGGAGTAACTAAAGCCTTACGGTAAAAACCCGAAACGAGAAATTTTTTTAGCTGTAGCCGAAATTATTTTTTGAAATTATTGAAATCTTTTCGGTAGCTATCGAGATAATTTTGTATTAGTTGAGCTTTTTCACGTGGAATCTTATTTGTTAAAATGGCATAAATATTGCATTGTTTTTTGTTTTTTTTTAATTCTTGAAATACATTGATGAATAATCGTAAAAAAGCTCCATCAACATAATCTTAAATCATCTCCTTTTTTATCACTTTTAAAATTTATGTTCACAAGTAAAAAATTAAAGTGTGTTTCAACCTTTTAGAGACACACTGTATACGATATATGGTACTCTTCCTATATCCGTTGGCTACGGTTAAACTATATCTCCAAATCGAGCACAAAACATAATCGATCAATAATAATTTCTTTTATTGCTTTTTATAATCTGACTAATCAAGGGATGCAGACGCCCATGCCCGGCATACCCTACACTGATATTTTTTAAGGTTAACTGTCATTACCAAGTCTACCCTATACTGATATTTCATAAGGTTAAGTGCCACTACCAGGTATATCCTACACTGATATTTTATGAAGTTAAGTGCCACTACCCGGTATACATTTGCTCGCTATTCCCTTTTCACTGAAAAGTTTCAGTGCCACTGCACTGTAAACGGTTGTCTTTGTGGTCTCGAATTCGCTCACCGGGATTTGGAGATTTTTTTTCTGCCTCATTTAGCGTATCTAAACCCAATATAACTAAGATAAGGAAAATCCTATCATAAGTAATACCTCGTATCCGGCTTTTATTAGATGGCGTTGCTAACTCCTAAGTTTTACAGCAAAATTAAATAATAATCAAATAATATGCGTTTTTAAAATATTTAAATCAATACAGAAAAGATTCTTAAAGATGATACATTTAATTGTTAGTCATTTAAAGCGATTTTTTGTGCTAATTTCGTACATTAAAAACTATTTGAATATTTGATGGTATATTTTAAAGAATTTTACCAGGACACTTTTCTCTTTTATAAGGTTTCCATTCGGTACATTCTTCAACCTTATGAGTTTTGTCTTCGATTTTTTCGCACTTATATCCATCCTCTTCTCCATTCACGCATTCCTTCACTCGTTCCCTTGTACCTTTTCCACAGGTAGTTGAACAAGAAGACCAATTTCCCCATTTTGAATTCTCTGTTCTCTCTAAAATAAAAACAATCAACAAAGGAAATAACTTGTTGCAAATCTCATAAAATAAACTCTTTTTATGTCAAATGCTAATATGTATTTTAAAAACAGTCATTTTTAAATGTTATTTAAAACTAAACAGATGTTTAAGGACAGATAAGACCTTTAGATTACTTCATACAATTAATTAATCGTATGAAATCGATTTCGTTAGTCGTAAACGAGTACAGAAGCCTAATCGAATAATAATAGTGAAGTAAAATACATAATAAGTAAAATTAAGAAGTCAATGACGAAAGGTATCGCAGCTCAACCATTCTACAGTGGTTTATCCAGTTCAAAAGAGTCATGGTATTTTGTACAATGTGTGGTCATGTGAAACATTTATAATATACATTTGTAATATACATGACACTGTGTCATGTGTGACATATGTAGGAGTATGAAGAGTGTTGTGGTCTTTGAAGAAAGGAAAAATCTTCTACAAGAAAAATGGAAAAATAAGCATTGGACCCATGATAGGCAACTTACGAAATCTTTTTGTAGTCGAAATGAGTACAGAAGCCTAATCCGATGACAATACTTTTTTTTAAGTTTTGGGCCGTTACGAAAATACTTAATTGCTATATTATCGTCAAACGTAATTTATCTTCGATCAACATTCTGGCCGCATTTTGATCAGTTAAAGAGTTCAAATTGTACCCGTACCTATGTTCTTACTACATTACAAGTTTATTCAAGTACGATTCCAGGCTAATTTATAACGGCAATACAAAGTAGGATGTACATTCGTAATATATGTCGATGGTGGTTCTGCAGAGTCTGGCAACTTCAGACTTACAGATTATTCAACAGTTTTCAAAGCAGAATTATGGGCGATACTTCAGTTACTCCAGTGGATACACCAAAATAATATCAATAGCGAAACAAACATCTATTCTGACTCACACTCCAATCTTCAAGTCCTTAGCAACACAAACACGATTACCTAGTTCAAATGATAAAAAATACTTTCAACAATATTACTAAATTCCACTGGATTAAAGCCCACAAAGGATATGAGGGCAATGAGGAAGCTGATAGACAGGACAAATTAGCTTGTCAGAAATCAACAATCTATATGACATACCATCGAAACAGACAACAAAAGCAAAACTTATGAAGAATAACCTTTCAACATGGCAGCAAAGATGGGATAATAATAATACAAAGGGACGACTCACTTACCAGTTTATCCCAAAAGTCAGTAATCGAAAAATTTACTCCAACTTTTATATCAATCAATTTATCGAACCATGGAGCCCAGGGTAGTTATAAATCAAAATTGTTCGGGAAAGACCTGAACTGTAAAGTCTGTAAGAGTTATGAAGATATCGGACAGATACTTACAGTCTGTTCAGTTTATAATGATTTTAGAAATAAATTTTTCCCGAAAAATTTCTACTTTGATACCATTAAAAGAAACTGGATTCAAAAGAAAATAAACAAAGGAATTGAAGAGACTTTTAAAAAACTTTTTAAAAACAGAATTGAGAATTTGGCCTAAACTGATTCTTCAATAGTAGTCTGAAGGCGGGGGCAGGGTTTAAAGACGAGCTACGTTACAAATTACAATGGTTTCCTAATCTCTACAGACGGAATCTATCACCATGCTAACCCCAAATAGAATTTATCTCCAATCGAAATCTCGACCATTTTTCGAGTTATCATATTATGCAACTCTTTAACTGCCGCTCGGTGTTTGATGACTAGTTAAAATTGGCTGGCAGCAAAATATTATGCTGTTTTAAGGCAAGTCAAAACTTTTATGACTTTCCCCACAAACAGGTAATTAATAGCAAGGAAACAACAAAACGCAATAATTTTAAAAATTGAATTTCCAAGTCAACCAAAAGTGAAAAAAATAATTATATTCTTGTCAGATCGAAATAATAATAGAAAAACGTTGGTCGCAGCACTTTCCTAAAGAACTTCAATTATCACAAGAAATCCTTCCCTAAACGTCCTTCGAAAGAGATGCGTTTTATGTTTTTTTTCTTCTTTTTTTTTTTTTTTTTTTTTTTTTTTTTTTTTTTTGGTCTGACAAAAGCAAAACTATGTTCTCATTATTTGTCCACTAGTAAAAATAATTTTTTGCTATCTTAATTTTATTACTATAGAATCTCTGTGATTCTGCAGATCTTAAAGAAAAATACATAATGTTAAACAAAGAATAATCAATTTTACATAGCAAATAATAAAATTTATTTAAGAAAACGGAAATTGATAAAACAAAGAAAATAATACAATTAGAATTGGACAAATAATCAAATTAAAAAATATAATTATTATTTCATTAAAGAGACCGAATAAATCTTATAGTGACTTTAGCTGAAGAGCTTCGAGAAAAAAAAATTTAAGTGACAAGTTTAAAATGCTTCCTTCCATACTGTTAGTACGATGTACCGAATCAAGCTGTACTGAAGAGAAAGTATTTATAAACGAAAATATTTATTTAAAACATCAACAAAACATAAAAAAGGCTTATATCATTTCCAATTCCGAAACGGGTTTGTACCCAGATTAGTTACAATAAAAAAAATTGTAACTAATTCTTCGAGAAATTGAATTCTCCTATAATAATATTAGATTACAGGAGAATTATGTACATTTAAATTGTTATTTGTTTATTAAAATTGAAAACCATTTCATTCAAACATAAGAAAAAGAGTTTTTAAAAAAGAAGCATAAGAAAAACTAAAGAAATAAAGAAGAATTATAATAAAAGAATTTCATTCCACTAAATTTAGTTTTTTTTCTGATTTCATATCAAAAGAACTGATTATTATTTAACTATTCATAATAATTTCTTGTTCATATCGTATTTTACTTGATATCTTTGTTAATGTTTAATTTAAAAAAATCCATAATAACACCTTTTGTAATATTGTTAAGTTTGTAAACAAATAAATAACTGAATATTGTTAAAATATGCTTCAAAAACCCTTTTAATCCAATCCAATAACTTGATTTAATAATTTAAAATAAAAAGTTCTCAAATAAACAAATACTTGAATTAAGTTTCTGAAAATTTAATTTAGTATATAATAAACTTAATTCGCCTTCTTGAAGCAGATATTGCATTTAGTTTATTTCTATTGATATGAAGTTATGAACTTTTAATTTTCTTATGAAAAAACACACTTATTTAAAAACGTTTCTTCATTAAAAAAATCTTAATTACATCTGCTTTGTTATACAACAAATCATTAATAAATCTTAAATGGTTACTTAAATTTTGTTCTTTGAATTCTTTTATAGTTATGAATTTTTATTTCAATAACAAAGTAAATTCAAGACAAAATCAAAAACGTGGCATTCTATGTATTTAATTAAAGTATACTTAATTAAGCAAAAGAACGAAATGTCAAATCTGTTTGAATTTTCAAAATTAGTTTTTATTTGAAAAATGTTTTTTGTCCTTTTAAATTCCATAGAAACGTTTACATAATAGTATTTATATAACGTTAGTTTATTTTGAAATCTTTTCCTTAATAAATTATTAATAAAATATTTATTAACACTTTATAAACTTTTCTTACCTTTAATGCTTATTATATTATATAAATACACTGAATATATTCATCATCAAATGTTCGGGAGTTTTTATGTGTATATCAAAATACCAACAAGAACTAGGTAAAACGTGCTTTATAATAAATATTACATTGTTGCTGATAAGAAAACGTAATGTTTACTAACGCACAACTTAAGTACTATTAAAGTCAGTGAGCAGTTTCAAAACATTTTCTTGCTTTATAGTATAATTTATAAGAATCTGTGCTATTTTTAATTGCGTAGGGGGGGGGTAGAAAATTAGCACAATTTCCAAACTGTAGAAAATAACAATAAAAATTGCATAGCTCATTGATAAGAAGTTATAAACAGTTTCAAAGAAGTTCAGAAGTTTCAAAATATTAACTTGTCCATTAAATCAGCAGTTCCCGAAAATCATCCGTGGAACCCTAAAGTGAAACCTGCAATTATACTCAATCAATAACAAATTTTTAATTTAACATTTTGGTTATTTTACAAGCAATATGCCTTCAGACAAAAAGCGAAATTTCAACAAAAAAAAATTCTTGAATGGCAATATATTAAATAAAAAGGCTATGCATTTTTAAAAATTTGTATTGATATTTCTCATCGAGTTTTTAGTTCAAAATGAAGTAACCAAATTCATAAATTGAAGAAATATAATCGTAAATATTTCTACATTTATAACCGTTTCTTTTCGTCTCCATTTCATCAAAAACTTCAGCTTATCGCAGCGTAGCTGGTCGTAATTAATTACAAATAATTTAAATAAAAAAAACTAAAAACAAGATTTGACTTCGCAAAGTTAGAACTAACGTACGTTTTATTTAAATTTTAAGAGAAAAGAAAAATTATTGGAATTTTAAGAAAATAGGAAACCGAAGGCATTAAACTCATATAACTTATACACATAATGAATTTTAAAGAGATAACACACATAGAGAAAGATTAATAAGGAATGTGAAAAGTTGCAATTTATGTCCAGATCCTCGTACCATATACTTTTGTTTTTTATGTTAAAAATTATAATTTTCTCTCAACATATTTTACCAACTTAACTCATTCAATATTCACTAAAATCGTTCAATTTAAATTTATCCTTTTTTTTCGTACAATCCCCTCCTACACTCCAGGAATCTTTTTATCTTTTTTTCTTTTTCTTTTTTTTTTACTGTTCTTCAAAAACCTAACCCTGAAGAATTAAAGCTCAATTATTTTAAGCTAAGAATAAAGATTCAATCACACCTGAAATATTTTTTTACTAATCCTGAATTAAAAAATGGAGCTCAAACGGTCCACCTACACATAACCAAGGTGGTCAAAATAAATCTGAAACCTAAGTTGCGATTTTTCCCACAATCGGATAGAAAAAATAAAAGGGGTCTGCAAAAATCATCCCACAAAACAACTGTTCACTTAAAACAGGGTAGAACCGGAAATCCATTAATCTTAACTCTCCACTTAAAGTATATTCATTTGTCAGTCATAAAAACAATTTAAAGACAATTATTAATAAAATTATCAAACAATTTCATTGTTCATATTAAATAATTTTAAAGTCTTATTGAAATCATAATTAAGTGTAAAAACATTTAAAACTATAGTGACCCACTCTTACAAAATTATCTGGTAAATTAACTTACCAAGAAATTATGTCTAAAAAACATAATAATCCGGTCGAGTATCATTTTATAAATTAAATAGATCCACAGTTTTATTTATACGTTAGTCAAAACCATATAACAATTACTGAAAAGTGATAGCAAGCACAGAAAATAATTACAAGTCGATTAGAAAAAAGGTAAAATTATCGTACAGTCAGCGAAACAGAATGGTGAAACCTAGAATTTGAGCTGACGGTTTCATCCGTTTATGATTAGGGTGACGAACAGATTAAAACAGTTTCGTCAACAAAACAGCTTGAAACCGTCAAATGCACAGAAAATGCCCCTAAAAGTAACGAGAATTTTCTACCTTTTACGAATAACGGTTGAAAACAGAAAAAAAAATCTCTAATTTATTTAAACAGTTTTTTTCTTCTGTGAAAAATGTTTTTTTTTTCTGTCAAATTTTTTCTGTATTTCTTACAGTGCATAGTCGAAAAAATGTCGGAACCGTTGCTTCAGATATTTTTAGTTTGAATTCTATATACTATAACTTTTTTTTGCCTAATATTCCCATTGCTGAAGTATATTCCACAAAAAGCACATGCGTTTGTTTATTTTTCACCGTATTCTCAGAAAACAACGTTTATTTTTTAATTTGTTTGAAAAAACGTAAAAACAAATCTCCTTTCTTAATAGGCTTTAGTTGCACAATCAATTGCAATTCATTCTATTCTCACTTCAGTTATCAAATCGCAATCTATTCATATTAAAAATCCTGTTCATTTAAAAGCCCTATACAATTGTATCACGAAAGTTATCTACCTCTAAATTTGTTATTAAATAAACTTCCATTAATTAAATTAAAAGCGAAAGTTTCATTAAAAAACAAGCTGCAATACATCACTTTTGGAATTTTTAAAAAAAACGTTATTTATCTTTACTGTACAGGTTCTTTCTTCATCTTAAAAAGTGATTAATGTGTTAAAGTTTACGATTATTATTTTAAACTTATCAAGATTCGCTCCTAAATAAAAATTCTTTCACATAAGCCGCTCTTGAGAAATTTCATTAAATACATAATGAAGCAGGATATCAAGTTAATTACAAAGTCAGTTAAAAAGTTTAGATATTAATGAGAAATTTATGAAAGATGTTAATCAAAACAGTTTAATTTTCTAAACATAACCACAAATCTCGGGCTTAAAATAAATTAATCTAAAGTTCAAGTATCTGGAGGAATTTTTTTTTCTAATCTCGTATAACGTATTTTACGTATTTTATCTTATTTCGTTTTTAATTAAAAAGATTACCTTAACTATATACTTCTGTTCTGTTACGGAATATCCTTACGCCTACCCTTGACTTAAGTTGGAAATAATAATCTAATTTTTAAAAAAGTATACTCAATTAGTAAATTATAAAATTTTAATTTAAATTATTTTATGATACCTTTTTTAAGAAAAAAGATAATATAAGACAAAAAATCTTTCTTAAGTAAATTTATTGTCTCTTCATATCACAAGGTTGTGTAACGGGTTGCAAGATTACAAAAAGATTAAGTCCTTCCTTTCCAAGTTGCCACCCGATGTAGAGTGGATTGATGCTTTTCTTTTGCAGGTTCAGAAAGATAGGAAATGCATCATATTACTGATGTTTTTAAAGTAAAGTGAAATCGTCCGGTATTTCTTACGTGTATGAATTTTTTAAGATAAATTGCCATTGTCCGGTATTTTTTACACTGATGTTTCTTAGTGTAACAGCCTTTGCCCGTTATTTTTTGCACTAACATTTTACGAATCTAAATTATGTGAAATTAGTATAGCCACTTCCAGGCAAATAACCTCAGATGGCTCAGTGATTTTAGCCACTGAGTTGTCATTGTAATGGACTGGGACTCAGTTCTCAATGGTAACTTGAAGTCCTCCATTTTCAGATCAATGGGTATCACATTATTTTAGAGATCTGTGCGCAATGGCACAATCATGTCGTTGGTTACGAAATCGTGAAGCTTAAACCTTCATGACTTCCTGGCTTACAGCGGGCTGTTGAGAGAATACTTTTTACTTCCAGGCAAATAAAAACTCTCTCAACTGCTAAAGAAAAAATGATTGAATATAATAACATAAAGTTAAAATTAATATCAGGTGTGGCAGACTCGGAGCGTCGAAATGCTTTTAAGTTTATTTCACGATTAGAAAAGTAATATTTTATTTATGAATTTCCAAATTCTAAAATCGAAAATATATTTTATCGGCGGTATCAGTTTCTGGTAAAATGCCGATATACATCCTTTAACTTTTTCCACCGGCAAAATACATGGTACACTCCTATAAGCAGGCAGTTTGGAATTGAAGCATTAGCGCTGCACTCTTAGTGTTTTATGATTCTACAGCCAGGTTAAAGAAAAGTCATTGAAAGCATTGATCTCCAACTGACACTGTAATATCTACATTACATATAAAGTAGTAAGTGCTGGACTATATCAAAATTTTATTATTGAGATAAGGATAAGTCAGGAATTGGAAGGTTTAGAGAAATACAATAAACTACATTTTCATATTGTATACGAGTATTTTTCCTGAAAAGACCAATTTCCTTGCAGATAAGAAAAAATATTTGTCTGTATATTGTGATGTTATCGATTTAAAAGTCTAGAAGCTCGTAAAATTCCTATCTGGAAATATTACCATATGTAAAAAAGCGATTTTCTAAAAACAGTTTGAATAATTTTATATTGCCCTATTGATATTACGCAAGCCATTAAATTCATCAACTGAAAAAAATATTTTTTGGAATTGAAATTTTTTGGAATATTTTTTGGTTACTTATTGTTAAATTAATTTTAACTTCTCATGAAATTTTTAAAAAATCGATACTGTGAACTGCAATACAAGTTTATTCATACACGTCAAATGAAAAATTTTAATTTGCATTTCAAATAATACAAATAATTTACAATATTTATTTTATTTACATTTTCATACATTTGACATACTATGCATTTATAAGATTCTTCAGGTGTCAAAACATTTTCCAGAATAAAATATTTCTTTCTAAAGTTGACGTCGACTTAACTCTTAATAAAACTCACCCTCACACGATTCTTCGTTGCATTTGACAGAGGCATGATCCGGACCTTCGCAATCTTTACCTCCGTTCTGTGGCTTTGGATTGGTGCACGTGCGCACTTTAGTCTGCTCGCCGCCTCCGCATGGCTCTGAACAATCTGAATCTGACAAGATACTCCACTCAGTCCACTGCCCGTCAACTAAATATTTGCAAAGAAAAGAGTTGATATATATTTTCAATAAAGTTGGTTTTTAGAATGTGTTGTATCATGACATACATAAGCTTAAATAGAAGTTTTGAATAAAAAATATTAGATGTTGAGAAATTTGCGATACAACGCATAATTTAAATAAGTTATTAAAGCATATGTATTTGATATAATCTTTTCTAAACCAATATTGAGATATAAAATCTTTTCAACAAAGTTGTCTCGACACATTATACTGTAGCAAATTTTATATTTACTTCTCTCAGTATGGCATTGTTAAACAAAATTTTAAGTTTTGATTTTGAAAAGAAAGAAAAAATTTGTAATGGCCCAAGGCGTAGAATAGTGGCTGAACTCCGCCTAGCTACTGGACATGACTGCCTTAGAAATCATTTTTATAGACTTAAAATTGTCTCTTCCTCGATATGCACTCTGTGCAGCTCTGGAGAGGTCGTGGACTCCGCACATCTACTCCACTGTCCTGCTCTGGGGAAGACTTTTCTAGCCGAGCGTTATTGGGAGGCTAGAGATTAATGGCATTTTTTGTACTTTATGTTCTTTCTTTTTATTGTTTTCTGCTGCAACTGTTCATAATCTGCCATTAGAAGTAAAATAACAAAATAGAAGTTTTGATTTTTAAAAAAAATTTTTAATGGCCCAAGGCGTAGAACAGTGGCTGAACCTTGTCGGGCAGAGTCTGGCGCCATCCTTGATTATTTGTCCCTTGATATTAATAAAAAGTCTATTTATAGAAACAATAAAAAAACAGATCATTTTATCGATACGAAAATAGTATCAGGAGGCGGAAAAATTTTGAAGAAATAAAAAAGATCCAAATCCAACCGATCACTCACACACTTGATTCAGACATTGTAATTTTCCGAACATTTTTAAAAAAATCGAAATTGCAGACCAAAAAAACATTTCAATGTCTTCTACATAAAAATTTTAATAGTTTCTGCTTAATACTTGCGAATACATTAGAAGCAGAAAATTTTTCTGATAAATGTAACTCATCGACAATATGTCCAACAATCGACAGTATGTTATATCGACAATATGTCCAACAATCAACAGTGTGTTATATCGACAATGTATCCAGCAATCGACAGTATGTTATATCGACAATATGTCCAACAATCGACAGTATGTTATATCGACAATATNAACGAATACAATATAAAAATTTGATTTTTATTCATTTGGCGTGAAAATGCGAAGTTAGCCCCCGAATTTAATTTTCAGGATTATGTCCAAAATAAGGGTGGTCAAAAAAATTTAAAGGGTGGTCATTTGTGGTCAAAAAATGGTCAAACGAATGCAGTTTGAATTTTTTATTTTCCTCATTTTCGGGGGCTATCTTCGCATAGCTCCAACAATCGAATAAAATTAAAAAATTCAAATTCTTCCGTCAATGATCGATGTATGATGACACTATTGTTATTTTTAAATAGAAAATTCTATTTTTTGTCATGACATATACAATTTAAATAGTGTTTGCCTGAAAAAAAAGTTCGGTAACAATAGGTTAAATTCGGTGGCAACTTTTCAAATAAATACCAAGAAAAAAATCTGTTCAAAAAGTTTTGATCTCTTGTTATGCACATTTCAGAATTGATTTCACATGACGCAAATTGTAAAGATATAATTATTAATTTTGCTATTTATATTAGGATATGAGTGCTAACGATTGTGCGATATGTGTCTACAATACTAAAGATGTTGTAGTGTTCCAAAAAATTAAAAATTTCAAACTTTATCAATCTAACTACTTATATAAATTCAAAATGTTACATTACATCTGTTTCATTGTATAAATTGCCGCCAAAGTTTGAAATCCAGCATACTATATAATGTCTAGGCCTTGTATATGACGCCTAAAACTAGCCGCTAATGTTTGAAACGATTCAAATTTTCCACATTCCTAGGCATTCTACAGAATGCCAAATGCGAAACCGGCTAAGTATGAAATGAATCTCAGATTCGTTTCGAATGTAATGAAATGTAATTCAAATTGTAATTCAACCAATAGGTTAGTTTTAATTTCTTTTTTTTTATTATATAAATATATGAAAACTTTGTTTTCCTTTATAAGAAAATCATAAATTTTGTTTTGTACATCTTTTGTTTTTCCTTATGCATTTTGATTCATTTTTTTATCATGGCACTCACACTTTTTAAGAATAACATTTATATAATAGCCATAATCAGAACCTTTTTTCATACTTTGCTTAAATAGCATTTGTCATTCCATGGAATTCTTGGTTGATTTATACTATGCTTAACACTAGATTGCCCAAGGAAGTCATTTTGACTGCTTTTAATTTCAATTCGAAAAACAATTGATGCATAATATGACACAATTTCTTAGAATTTTGTGACTTCTTGTACAACATATAATTTTTTAAATGTTAATATTTACTAATAACTTGTTATATAACACTAAACCATATAAAAAATATTAAAAATAAAATTTAAATTTCTTTACACATTATTTATTCTTTTACAATCCAGTCATTTTGACTGCTTTTGGACTATATAGGTATATACTGAGTTTCAGTCTTTCTAGTGTTAAGGAAAGTACGTAATAATTCTCCTATTTCATACTTTGCCTTAAAACGTACGGCATTTTAAAAAACGCCGGCGTTTCATACTTTGCTGGTAACATATATTTTATGGTAATTAAATTTTTTATTTAATTATGGAGTGGTATTAAAGCCGCTGTGTCAAACAATAAATACTTGAAAGATTTATATGTTCCCCTTAATGTACATAGATGACAGTTTTTAATTTTTCATATTTTTTTGTACAAAGTGCAGTGATGTTGATAATTCAGTTTAATATTTTAAAGGATTATTTAATTTTGTCATAACTAATACTAAGTTTAATGATGTTTTAACTTTAATATCGAAATAATTGTCCTATTTTAAATGAGAACATATTTACCTTTTTCTCTTTCAGCAGCTGCAGACAGGTGAACTACAGCAAATATTCCAAATAATATTGCAACTTTTTCGAGCTTCATTATTTCCTAAGAAAACAAAAAATATAATATCCAATATGCGAAATTTTTTTGGAAAATTTTCAGAAATTTTTCAAAATTTTAAGAAACTTCTTTTTAAATTTAAAGTCGATAAAAAGTTGTCACCGCGTTTCCAATTTCATCAAAAGAACATGTCAGACGAATTGGAAGAATATTTGTCTTTCCGAAAAAAATTGTTTCTCAGTGTTTTAAAATTAATGATGATACAATTTAATTAAAATAAAGAGAAAGTTTAATTTTGTTGTCTTAAAAAACGTGCACTTTTAAAAGCATTAATCTAAAACAAATTTTAGATTTCAAGTTCATAAGCATAAAGCTTAAAACATAAAGCAACATTGAAGAAAAATTCTAAATGAAATGAAACATTTAGGTGTTCTAGAACCTACAATATCTGCAAACCTATTTAAAGCAAAAAACAACATGAATAAAGCACAAATGTACATAAATGGACACACTATAGTTTCAGTTCTATAAACAAGAACATTCCTCAACGTCTAAACACCAAATAATGATAAAGTTTAGACAATGACATTAGGTGTGTAGACACTAAAGAAGGTTCTTGTTTATAAAAGTGAAACTATAGTATGTCCATTTGTGTACTTTCTGTTGTGCTTCATTCACGATGCTTTTTGCTTTAATTGTCTACATAGCACAAAGTATACCCTATCCTTCGTAGGATCTACAAACCTAACCTAAAGATTGGGTTAAAAAGTGCATACTTATTTATAAAAAAATAATATTTCTCTTTAAATTCCGGATGGCCTAAATGTTATCACATTTAAAACTGACTTTTACAATTGCTTTAGATTACAAGATAAAATTGATGTTATTGATGTAAAAAACCAAAATTTCTTGAATATTTATACTTGATGAAAATTAAAATTTATATTTTTGTGTCCGAAAAATGAAATTTTAGGCCTAGCCCTAAAAGCCTAACATTTTAACACATGACTACTAAAAATATCTGGTTCATATCTACATTGAAAATTATTTATTAATTCCTGAATTTCGAAAAAAAATATTTTATGAAACCTTGAAAATATACCCCATTTCATTTCTAATATCAAAATTTGCCCACCGGCATGTATGAATAACCAAAAAAAATTTTAAAGAGGCTTATCTTTCTGTCTTAGTCTTTTTATATTACATTTGAAATAATTTAATTATTATAAAACCAAACTACACTATCATTGCGTTTATGCAACTGATGGTATTGCATCAGAATTAATTTAAATAAATAGTTAGTAGAAAATTAAATGCAATTATTCGAAGTATTATTGCGAAATCTTAAAATATCGGTTGTTTACAAGATATTTTATTTTTTAAAAAAATAATAATAATAAACTTTATAAGGAAATTAAAAATAAAAAGAAGTATAGTTGAAAAATATAAATATTTAATTGAATGCAAAGGTGAATACACGCATATTATCTTCTACGCATATCCCCGATGTGTTGTTGAGATCAGCGCATTAATCACACGCTGTTTCAATTCCTTTAGATACAAATACAATCCCCTATTATTGCTTTGCACTTACAACATTAAATAAACCCAGGACAACTAAGAATACCAAAAATGAAATTATTTACCTGTCTTTTCTCAAAAGATTAAGCTCCCTCTTTTCTTGAAATTGAATTTCCCAGATTTAAAACCTCTCTGAATAAAGAAAGGGGGGAAAATTCTAACCCTCCCATACATTGTCTCTTGAGAGTTTACATGGGGGTAACAGCACGCAAGTTGTATATCACCATGGGAACTGTTTTGCATTTCTCGCAAACAGCTGCAAAACACATAAAGTGAAACATATAAACAAATGGAGTAAACATAAAATCAAAGCTATTATTTTCAGAAGGTCGAGGAATAACATTGCGCATAATTTAATTTCATTCTGAAATGTATACCCTGGAAAATAAAAATTGAATATTTAAGTATAAATGGAATAAGAAATTCGTGGATGGCGTTTGTTACAAACCCATAAAAGATTGCTTTTTCTGCACGTAAACAAAAAATATGGGCAATCATTGCACTTATTTTTAACTCAAAAATGTACAAATTTGTTTCGTATGAGCATAAAAGAACTTTTTATGGAATTTGATCACTAATTTATACCAGATAATTAAAAGAAATATTCTAAATTATGAAAGGATGAAAAAAATTATAGCTTGAATATTTAAAAAAAGAAAATTAAGACATTTTTTAAAAAATCGCCAATTGGGCTGGAATTTTTAAAAAATAATTGCAACTTTTTGGAAAAATAGCCAACTTTGTAGGATTTCTTTTTTTAAAAAAATTGTTTTTACAAGAAACCGCCAATTTGCCAGGATTTTTTTCTTTTTTGAAGAAAATTAATAAAATAAATTAATAGTTCTCCATTATTTCTTACATATTTTTATCAGCCCAAACAATGCAGAGCAAACTATATAATTTTTTAATATTAAGAAATTAGGCCTCTAACGCCTTTCATTTTGCACAAAACTATAGATCAATGAAGTAATCATTAATATTTTGCACCATTTTCATAATTAGCATAAAGAACACTAGCTAAAATTATACCGAAATTTAGCTTACCTGAAATAACTTGAATTGTTTGGAAAACAGGCTTAGAACACTTTCAAAATGTATGTTTTCATATTTTCCAAATCGTTTTTAATTTCAATCTTTTTTTTAATCATTATTACTTTTTATTTTAAAATATAATCATAAGGAATATTTAGTATTAGAGAAGATTTGCAACTAAACAGGAAAAAAAAGTAAAAACCTTTTTGAGAGCTGTATTATTTGTTTATTTTATATTTATTTTTGTCTTACTATTTTATTTCTTATTTATTATTTTTATTTTATTTTTTGTTTTATTTTTCATTCTTTTTATTATTTATTTTTTATTTCACTTATCCAGTTTATTTCCATTTTAATGCGAAACAAATAGATGTGGCGAAAAAAGGCGAAATTTTAAACATCGAATAAAATATGTTGTGTTTTAATTAATGAGACAAAATTTTTATATAATCATAGAATAAAGAAAATTATAACAATGCAAGTAATCACATATCTGGTAAATGGTGTCCTTTTCAGGCAAATGTGTCAAAAAGTCACTATCATTCTTTTTACTTTTCTTAATGTTAACGTCCATTTATTTGATTGGGGAAAAAATGGTCTCTTACAATTTAACACATTTTTTCCAGGTTTTTTTCAATCAAAGATTTATACGAAGAAGCCTCAATGAACACTAAAATTTTAAAGTAGATAATGAATATAAGGACTGTTTTGCCGATTGCAAAGCCATGAACGCAAAGTATTTTGGAAGCCCTTTTCTAGCATGTGAGTATATTGTTTCCTGACATTGCGGTTATTTAAATAAACAGTGATTTTGATTAAGTTCTATCTCGTAATACATTTAAAGTAATTACATTACACATAAAGCAATAACAACTATACACATGTAAATATATTTTATTTTATATTTTACAACCGTCGTTGAACAACCGACCCAATCTTACGGGTTTACGACTACTAATGTTCAACTCCGTAGCCTAGTAATTTTGAACCTAATCTAGAAGACAAGGAAACTCCTGGATCGAGTATTGGGAGAAATTTGCCTTCCTGGAAGACTTTTTGATGGAGCTAACCCGCATTTGCGTTACATGGAGAGGAAGACCACGAGAACCTCCCACGGTTAGCCTAACGGCAAGGGAACTCTGACCCGTCTACCACTGAGGATATTTCACGTCAGCACTGTGGCCGGCGCAAGCAGGATGCAGAATTCGTATCGACTGGGATTCCAACCCGGTTTACCGCATTGGAAGGCGAACACTCTATCCCCTGAGCCATCGCGGTTCATGTAAATATATTGTAATTAACGACATAAAACTGTTTTATTACAAATACAGAAAATCAATCTGTTTCAAACGTTAAAATATTCACTGAGGATTTGAGGCCCTTATCAAGGTGGATTACAGGAAACATCTCAGGGATGCTCTCCTGAGATGTTCATGCTGATTTAGTTAGCTGATTCAGCCCTTAAGTAGACGAGTCCCACCGTCAAAATGCAACTGAAAACTTCATCGCGGGAACGTATGTATATGAACAATTAAAATGAATGTGAACATTTATCAAGCATGTGCTTCCTTACAATATACAATCCTTACAATCTATTCTTGCGAAAAAAATAAAAGTAAAAACTTAGAATAAATATAAATTATGTAATGACACTATTATTATTTAGCAAATTTAGGATCAAAAATATATTTAGAAATAAAAATTGTTTTAGAAACTATTGTTAAAAAATTTATTTAAAAAATGCGTAATGATAAATTACATTAGGTAAAAAAAAAAATTTTTTTTTCAAATCTGAAATCGGTTTCTCTCTTCTAACTATGGTTTTTTAATGATATTTTCGGTTTTTTTTTTTTTTTTTTTTTTTTTTCGAAACGTGCAAATTTAAAAACTTTAAAACAGGAATTCGAGCAAAATGTTGAGGTAAACTTCCCGTGAAGTTAGGGCACATCAGGTTTAAAACTGCATAGAAACCCATGCCCGGAAATGTCATCTTACGTCACTGACTGCGCTTCCCTATTATGAATTAATTATTATGTGATTATGAATGATAATTATTATATTTCATCGTGTACTTCTGAATAGTTCATAACAGAGAAGCGCCCCTAAAAGCGTGCATTTCCGGGCATGAGTTCCGATGAAATTTTAATTCTCATGTGCCCTAACTCCCCTAAAAGTTTGTAACATTTACACAGCCTCCCGTACGCACTATAAAGTACTAAAAACGTACTATAAATAGCGTTTTTAAACTTATACATTTCCAGAAAAATCAGACTAAAAATGTCATTTTAAAATGGGAGGAAAAGGCGGTTTAAAAGGAGAAAAACTAATTTCAGATGTGTAATCCCTTCACCGAATTAGGCAATATCAAGTATTTGCATTAAATGCAACTAAATATTTGTTTGAAGGTATTATCTACTAATTATAAATTTTAAGAAAACCACTTTCGAAACCCACAAATTTAAATAACATTAGTTTATATTTTAACCCGATTTTTCTTTCTCATAACTGAAAAGTTATAAGAAATGAAAAACAAATTGAGCAGAATCCCCTATTCAAGCATTCAAATTTTTGAAGAAACGTCTCATCACTCAAAACTCTACTTATCGGAGAGAAAAATCTCCTAAAACAATAAATTTTTTGTGTTCTAACATTAAAATGTGAAGCTCGTTTAAAAATGGTTCTAAAAAAACAACGAATCCAATTTATGAAACGGAATGGAAAAATTCTTTAACTATATTCCGACACCATTAACTAAAAGTTTTCTCTCGCAGCCTATTTCCAAAAGGCACTAGTGAAATTTAAAAAAAATAATAAATAAAAATTTTACATGGACTGAAGTAATGACATCGTCAAACTGCCATTTCTTCAAAAAAGGAAAACTGAAAGAACGCGACAGATATGCGAAAAGTAAAAGAAATTTCACTGGATCAATAAAGACAACTTTAGCCAATAATTGAAAAAGCTTGCAGGTAAAACTCCCTCCTGCTCCTTAAAATCACAATTTGTAAAAATACTTTTTAGCTCAAAAATCATCTAGAACAAATTTATATCGTTCTGTGCATTACAAAAATTGATTTAAAAATCGAGCAACAAATGGTAGGTTTCTTTTGGGAGAGATAAAAGGAACTGTGATTATAGTATGATTTTTTTAAATATATATCCTTCAGAGTTCTTCAACCAATTAAAATTTATGTTTTAATATTAATGTTTAACAAGTGTGAAATATTATAAATAAATACATTTTACCTGTACCCATTCACAAATCGATTGTCAGCAGGGTTCAAAGAAAGAAAAATGGGTCCTCGAGAGCAAAAATAACACGTCAAAGTAAATGAATATTTAACTTTTCTATGTCTCTGTTTTATATTAAGTTTAATTTTGTTTGTAACTATTACTATTTTTATTTTATAACATAAATCTAATCAAATAAATGACATGGTGAATAAATTAAAAAGTTTTGAAAAAAAATTCCAAAGAAAAAAATCGGGTGATTTACCAAAGGTATTTATTTGACATATCTGTTTATTTATATTTTAAATTGGTCATTAAGTTTATTTAAATTGGAATCAGACAGAAATGAGGACTAGTAATGTATAACAGGGCCCATAAAATAAAATTTCCTTATAAAATTCCAAAATTAATTAATCATAAAGTTTATTGATGAATCTTTAATTACATTTGTGATAATACTCATCATCATCAATGGTTCGGCAGCCATGGAGCAAATTTCAAAAAATGGGGGGAAGTAAATATTTTCCCAATTTGCTTAAACATAAATTTTCAGTCAAATCCCCTTTATGCAACCATTTGTGAAGACATTTATTAGCATTCACATTTTCTACAAAATTTACTAATTTTATACTGTTTTATCTCTAAAATATTTTCCTTATAAAAGCTATAATAAGACTATAATAAAATTATTTTTGTATTTTTACAAGGAAAATTTCTAAAATAGGCAAAATATTACATAGTTTTCAGAAATTTCTACTATAGAAATACATTGTATTCGCACATCATAAATGCTCTTCCAATAAAAAAAAAATTTCACTTTACAAAGAAATTGAAGAAAGCTGTTAAAAGTAATACATTTTCTCCACCTCCCAATAGCCATTTTACAATGGATTTCCATAAAATTTACTTACTTTTGAGAGTTATAAATTTTTAAATATATTTTATTTTGTCAAATGAAAATTGAGAGAT